AGACATGTCTGATCTGCAATTTCTGCCACTATCAGCAGATTTTATTAGGATCCCACAATCTCTGGATATTTTTGTGGGTATTAATTTAACGATGTGTAGTAGTTCCTTCTTCCATTCAATGATAATTGASTACATTAATGACCTAACATAGCATGGTTCATCYGTTTTAATGATGATGATGGWTGATGATGATGATGATGATGATGATGATGATGATGATGATGATGATGATGATGATGTCTCTTATTCCCTCAGTTTTGTATGGTGGTGATTCCTAAGTCTTTCTATAAAAAACATGTTTTGTAACTTTGGAGAATCCCAGGATACTATGCTTTCAATAGTTCAAAATAGTTATTTTTTGAAATAGTGACTTTTTGAAGCCATTCCACATTTTTATAACTCAGAAGCTTTCATTAAAAAGAACTATTTGGGCAGGAATGTCATTCTGACATACAAACCTGGGAAAATATCTTGTACTTGACGTGTAATAAATCTGCTTTTTCAGATTTATTGGAACATTTCAAACCATTCTTACTGTAGAAGGGAAAATAATCTTTGAATTTAATGTTACTGTAGCTGCAGCATTAATGTGTAGGTGGTTTGAGCTCAGTGAGAGAGAAACACTTGACAGAAGGTTCTTTGGATTTCCTTCATTTTTATTTCCTCTATTTCAAAAGTAGGTTTGCCTTTCTTTCCTATTATTTGGAAAAGAATGGGGAGTAAGGAATAGAGCGGAGATTTTAGTACAGATGACAGGCTGGAAGACATACAAGCAGGGTGTTTTGTTTTACAAAAATTGTCTCTTCCATTCTATGAATAGAGCAAAAAAAGAATTTTTGGAAAATGTAAAGAGGAAAACATGAATTTCTTCCAATGACTAGGAATACTGATAGACTTTGCCTTCTGCCAAGAGATAACTGGAAACTTTATTGCCTGTTATAGATTTGTCCATCTATTCTGAAACTAAAAAGAAATTTGCTTTTAATTGCAGATATATATTTGAAAATGAAATCATTAAGCTTGTTTCACTAAGTGTTTTCATTTTGATAGGTTTTTCACCTGCTGTAGTTCTAGCAAAACATGAAACAAACTTTACAATWTGAACATTAAATATTCAGTCCAAATACTGAGTGCCTTCTAATTTTCATGCAGCTGTAAACTGACAATGAAGTCCAAGCTAAACTCTAATGTTACTRGCATAGTAAAAATGATAATTTTCTTTACAGCAACAATTAATGATAGATTTAAAATTGTTGTCGGAAATAAAAATCGGAGCCAATTTGGCTCAGGTACATTTGTACCAACTTGGTGATTCCAATGAGCCTGCAAGCCTGTAAATGGAGGTTCAACAAAATTTCCAATCTATTTTGAAATAAAATTGCATCTTTTTGTGTTCCTGTTCTGAGCTTATGGAACAGGTGATCTTCTCCTTGTAACAAAGAAATATGGCCACTYAGTAACAACTAAAGATATGAAGAACAAAAAGATATTCGATGATAATGTATTTTTATAGGCACAGAGGAAGATTTTAACAGCAGACAATTATGATTGTAAATAGGGCAGGGCTTCAGTTTGAGGTATGCTGTACTCTGATTGCAATAGAAACCTGTTGCTTGATACAGTTAGAGAACTTGATTTTTCTTTTTTTGTTTTATATATATAAATATATATGTTATATATGCCAATCTTTCATTTCTCTTGTTAAAATAAATGAACTGAAAATAAAGCTGAAAATAAAAGAGATGGATTTGCAAGCTATAAGAATGTGATTGGTTTTCAAAGCATTAGACAGAAAAAGAAGGCTATTTTAGGAATAAAGATAATGAAAGTTGGCATGTATTCCCTATGCAACAACAAAAMAATCACTTATAGCCAAAAAGCAAGAGGTTGCAAGAAAATCTCACAGACATTCAGAGTAACAAAAGCATATCAATGAAAGTTCAATGAAATTTTCCATGGAGTTGTRCACCTTCAGTTTCTTCTCATAATGTTTATTCTTCCCCAAGTTTCCACTTTCCAAAAGAAATTTTTTAAAAATCAAAGCTTATCCTGGAGAATGTAGAGGGGAAAACTGAAAAAGCCTTGTTTGTTATTTCCAGATTAATTTCATAACCTTGCAAATAATGAGTGAGCATTTTGAGTCAGATCAGAACATTTACTCTGCCAAAATTCCATCCGACTGAGCACCTTTTGTTGCAGATTCAGGTTTCACAGATTCTCTCTTTTATACAGAAAGGAAATTGAAATAAATTGAAAAGTTCATAAARGCAGACTGATAGGAAAGATATAAAAACTGCATAATCCTACAATATTAAATGTTTTTTATTATTGCTCTCCTTGCTAGAGTTTTGCCACATAGAAACTGCATTTTAAAGAAAAGATAATTTAATTCTACAGAACCAAACAGTATATTGTAAAATGCCATATATTTGCATCTTATAAGTGATTGATCTGGTGGAATAAATGTTGAAACTGAAAGTCATTTAACTGCTTAGTCTTTTTCATTGTTCTCTACTGTACTCTATTTCATGTTCAATATTTGTGTTTGAATAAAGTACTTCTTTCCCAATCCAGAATTTTTAGTGCTATATACCTGCTTCTGTTAGCACTTAAATCTATGTCCAAAATTCCATCTATTATTTTGTACTGCAGGCATGGACTATGCCCACAACAGGCCATCTTCATTATAGCAGGCCTGGGCTGTATAACATTTTTAATAAAATCACTCGTACTTTCAATAAAGAAATAATCACACATTCAACCAAATTCCATGTAAAGACAGCTGCTTGCTCATTAAATGGTCTCCAGTAGCAACATAGGCACTCAAGGGCTGTAWTGGTGTTGGATGGATCTCAGTGGCAGCTGTGGGGTGAAAAGAGGATGACCCATAGGTGATGCAGCTCTTGTGAAGAACYGAGAGAGCACAGAAAATGCTCTCCATGCTCCATCCTTCTCCCTATTCAAATTAATTATCRTATCCAGATATATTGAGAAAGGAACCTACCAAATCAGGGGGCAGTACATATGCAAAATCTTGATTTTTCATCAAAAGAGTAATCTAAAGATGTCCATTTCTGCACAATGTTTTTTCTCCCCAAAACCACAGCAATGCACAGCTCTTTACTATATTTTCAAACCAAGACAATAAAACCAATCATGGCCACTCAGCTGTGAATCTATAAAGCCACAGATGAGTATTTACAAAAGGGTGTGTTCAATCCATGTTGCATTGCAATTCCCACCAGCTGTGATGAACAACAACAAAATCTTATGCTTACATTAAAACCATCTAATATTTATAAGAATAAGGCTCAAATGTTCATGACAATATTTTTTAAATGTGTAATGTTTACAGTACTGCTTGAACATATTCTCTTTTTTTTCTGATAAAACACTAATTAAAAGTTATGTTTGCAGAAAACAGTAAGGGTGGTAGGGATTTGTAATAATTTGTAATAAATATTAGGAAATAATCACTATCATAGTTTGAAAGTAAACCAAAATAACATACAATTCTTTTGACTTTTGCAATAAACACTGGGAGAGGGGAAGTAGCATTGCTTTATTCTTTAATGCTGCAACACCCAGTATACATCCCTGAAATATCTTCTGCACTAGCTRTAAGAAATTTATTTCTCTTGTGTCCTGATCTTCCTTTTGTTCAGGTGCCTGTATTAGGTATTCAGAGATATGTGCACAGGCAAAGCCTGAAGGCTGAATTTACAGGGTTTCAGGAGGAATGAAAAAAAATCTAGATGTAATGTCCCAATATCTTTGCCAGTCTACCTTACCAACTTCGTCATAATCAATGTTTCATTTGGTGTGAAGTTACATAAGCAAATATGATTTTGGCTAAAATTGAAAAATAAGAATTTGCTTTCTACGTCACCTGCAGCACTGTGCTGCCTTCAACATTTTGACCATTAACTAGTAAAGTGCTTGAAAAGTGCATGAAGAAAGTGAAAGAAAAAATAGCAGATTATATTCAGTCACTACAGACCTGAATTATTTTTAAAGTGATGATTGACTGATGGAAGTCTCTGTACTCTCCTGAATGATCCAGAAATAAATCAATGAAAAAACTCCCTTTTCTCTTCCCCCCCCTCTTTTTTTAATTTAGGTCATCATATCAAAGATTGTATTTCAGTAAGCTTTCAGGCACTTCGGCATTGGAGACCTTGGTGCTCAGATGCTGATCATTCCATAGTTTATTCCAGCTCATAAAAGTGTGAGTAACAGGGAATTCCTCAACAGATTTTCCCCCCATATATCCTCTGACAAAACCTGAATGTTTTCCAGAAGGCAATATGAAACTTTGTGTCCTCAGCTTTCACAAGTTTCATAAAATCTGTGGCAAACTGCCTTTGGTCTGTCACGTTTAGAGCTTCACTCAGTCTTGCTGACAGTTGCATGGATGCTGACAACTTTGAGGCAGTTTGTCTGGAGAAGAATCCCTGTAAAATGAGTGGGAAATGGAGTCAGGGCGTGAGTCCAGCCTGACTTCCAAAGGCTGTCCAGGTGATTTGAAGGCTGATCCCGGCGTGCCACTGCCAGCTGCTCTTGCCCAGGCTGGTTTTGAGCACACAGCAGCTCCTGCAGGGAACAGAAAGCTCGGGTGGCCTCCCAACCTTTTGGGGTGGCTTCTGGCAGTTCCCCAACATCCACCATCACACCGTGCTGTGAGCTGGCTGGTTCCTTGAGGCCCAAAGAAGGGGTTTTTCCTGAATGGTYGAAGGAGGGGTTTCCCCCAGCTTGTTGCAGTAGGTTGGTAGCACAGTGCCCTTTGTTGTTTGAGGGAGATGTTGTAGTGACAGCCTCTCGCCTCGCTGGCTTGCCCCCTCAGATGTGAGCAGAGAGGCCTTGGATAAGCTGGCCAAACTCTCCTGGAGGACACTGGTCAGTTGGCTGTAAAGTGTCAGATATGGTCAGACAGCTTCTCTGCCTCACACAGCTCCTGCCTGGAGCGAGTGTCAGGGTGTGGGAYATCCCARGGGTGGGAGATGGCAGATCAGGGATATCCCAAGGGTGGGAGATGGCGGATCAAATCAGGGCCTGGGCGCCGCTTCGAGCTGGAGGGAAAAGGCACAAGATGGCGGCGGGGTGGTGAAGAGGTGGCAGCAAGGGGCCTTTGCTGGGCACTTGTAGTTTGTGACATCACCAGAGTGGTACAGGAGCGACAGTGGATGTGTGGGGAGAAAACATTCCATGCCATCCCAACAGGGCACAGAGGCATGAGGAGCCCACTGTGAATCCGAGCGAGGTGCCGGTAACGGCACTGAGGTAAAGGGACTGCAGTAGGTGATGCAGAGCCACCATGGATGAGAACAGATATCCTTTTTTTTTGCTCCCTTTCCTCCTCCTCTCCCCTCCCTGCACTGTGACARCTGCTATTGGGACCCCCAGACACGTTTCTCTTTCCCCTCAGGCCTGTCCCTGGCCCGGGAGCGCAGGGAACCCTCCGGAGGGTGGCAGGGAGGGCCTGGGGCAGCCAGGCCCATCAGCCAGGGCTGGTTCATGGTGTTTGGGTGGGCACAATGCTGGGRATATTCACTCCTTGGTGTTTCTTGGCACTCCCCAGTGTTCTCTGCAGCTGCTGAATCCTTTGGGCCTCCCCACATTGCCCTCCTGTCACTGTGCCCCTTTCTGCACCCTGACTGCCCCTTGATCTCCTTCACACSCTCCCTTTGGCCCTTCTGGTCGCTGCCCTCAGAATCTTTGGGGGCAGAGCAAAAATCTCTCCCCGTACACCTCAGGGCCTGCTGCATTCTCAGAGRCCAGAAGATAAGGATGTTCCAGAGTATGAGAAAAGGAAAGCAAAAGCTTCTTGGGCTTAACAAAATTAATCTCCTCCTCTTTGCCCTATTAAAAGACAACATCATGGACCAGAATCCTCCTTAACCTCACCTCTCATACGTGGTTTTGGAATCTCATTCAGAATGATTTCAAGACTGGGAATATTGATTTAGAGGGTTGCATGAGGCTGCTTGAAAAAATGCAAATACCTTTTGATGAAGAACACGTAAAGCATGTTTTCAAGGTAAGGTGTCTATACATTAAGCAATGAACAGTTTAGAAGTTCAGTTATAGGTGTCTTACATTTGATGACTTTTTGAAATTAATTTTTTGGCAAGTGTATTTTGTGTTAGTGTGGTGTGCAAAATCAGAAAAGAATTTGCCTCCTGCGGGTGTTTTGTTTCTGTGTAAAATAGATGACTGAGGGCTTGCATTGGAATCAGAATAATTTAGACTGGAAAATACCTTTAAAATCCCTGAGTCGAACCATTAATAYGACATTGCAAAGTCCACCACTAATTCATGACCCTAAGCACCACCTCTACATGCCCTTTAAATACCTTCAAGGAATGGCAACTCAGACACTTCCCTGGGCAGCCTGTTCCAATGCTTGATAACATTTGCAGTGTGGAAATTTTTCCTAATAGCCAATSTAAATCATCCCTGGCACAACTTGAGGCCACTTCCTCTTGTCCTATTGCTTGTTATTTTKGAGAACAGGCTGACATCCACATAATACTGTCTTTTCACTGCAATGAATTTGTGTGAGATGGAAAATATGTAGCTTTTGAATACCAGTTAAAAAACTGTAACACGGCTGCACTTGAGAAAAGTTAAAGCATTYTAGAATCCTCCCATCCAGCTTCTTCTGTGATCAAGCTAAGGAACCCAGACATGCCTGYCTGATGCTGGAGAGAGCCATTAGAGCAACTTCCTAAAAATCCTCTTGCCAGGAGGATGATATGGATTTCCCTGAGCTGCTCAGGCTTTAGATCCAGCACACATTCATTCAGTTCTCCACTATACGTCTCCTGTAATATTTAAGAGGTGTGCATAAATGGATGGGAATTACACTCTAACCCTCAGGGAAAGGATTTAGCCTTGAGACAAAGCAGTGTTTCAGAGATTTCTGTGAAGGTTACATGGCACACCTGGAAACTGRACTTACTAAGCAAATACTACCAAATTGCCTGCCTTGGCACATGCTGGGTTTACATGCYCTTCAGGTCCCTTTAATAATGACTCAAAAGGTGTAAGGTTTTCCCTTTTACCTCATTTTTCCCCCAAAAAATGAAATCAAGTGGATATATATGTGATTCTTTTGGGAATACTGCAACCACCTGGCTGATTCTGTCCTGATTTGGCAGAGGAGAATTAATTATGACAAGTCAGAAATTTTTGGATTGTGAGAGGGAAGGAAGGCCCTAAGTTTTCCTCACCCTGTCTTCCTCTCCCTGTCTTCCTCTCTCCTCACCCATGTCTCCCTCTGTCTGCCTTGTCAAGCCAAGGTAAAACCAGCAGAATGAGCTCAACGCTGGCTAAAGACGCTTCCTGTGGTTTTTGAGCTTGCACTGCTTTGGGAGAATTGCCAGGCTAGAGAATCTCTTGAGAGCTTAAAAATGCTTCTCATTGTTTCCTCTATCTTCCACATACTTTGGTTTCTGACAGAAATTTGAGGGAGATGGTCAGCTGTGTAAAGAGGAATTATTTGAGGGAAGTGACCTGCAAAGAACATGTCTGATCAAGCTGTGTTTAACAACATATTATGCTCAATAACCTGATCAAGTTATTTGTAGCAGTTCTGTTAGGTGTTCTTTGCCATTTGAGAAAGATTTATGTGTGTACAATATTTGGGAGCCCAAATATTTCATCAGTGTAATAATAGGTAAACATTCAAAGCATTCTGGAAGGGGATCTTCCTGACATCACTGTCAGTAACTACACATCAACAGCTAATGGTTATATATAGAAAAATACATTTTATAGAAAACATAATTATGAAGAATAATCTGACTTTTTTTTTTGCCTGTTTTATTTGAGTTTATTTTACTGTAATACTCCTTTGAGCAGTATCAGAATTATGAACATTAAGATTTTAAGGAATAATAAATTTTCATATAATTTCTCTCAAGACACTTTGTCTCTTCTTTTTTTGAACAGCAAAGATTTGAAGTGCATTAATAAAAAAATGATAAAAATCTACAAAAAATTATAAGAATATCTTTTTATGGTGACATGATTTTTATCACTTTAATTTGAAGAGCTCTCCTGTGTGGTATTATTGCCTGTATTTCATCAAGAGGAAGCTGAAATAGAAACTTTAATTTTTTGCCCAGCTTCTCTTTGTGCCAATAACTAAGTGAACATCTTCCAAGTCCTGAAAGACKGTTTCTTTCCAAAATAAGTTTGTATTTTCTTTTGTTATTTAATGAGTATGAGAAAATTAGTGGTACTGCTAAGAATATTAAAAATTGGATTGAGGATATGAACCTTATATGGGGAATTTCTCAACAGTAATGAAATATGTATAATTAGCATTTGTACTGAAGTATTTTCTTGCTAGTGATTTCTGTTAAAAATTATCATTATTATTGTCTTTGACAAACTCAAAGCAAATACTGAAGTACTGATTTGTAAGGGTTTTCACTAGAACTCCTCATGAAATTTAATTTTGTACTTGTTTCAGTTATCGAATATATTTTTACTCCTATTGTATTTATTCACAAGTGCGGTAKGAACTGTACTACATAGGAAGGAACAGGCAATGAATCATTAAACGTTGAGATTTTATGGTATGGCTTCAAAACCAATGTAATTTAGCAGTAATCTAAAGTCTTGATCAAAGAGAATCCAGGGCTCAAGTAAGCAATTTCCTGTTTATTGACACTCTTGTGGAAGCCAAACCAGTCATAATAAGTGCCATGTTTTAGATGCTGAAACTTAGCCTCTTTGGCAGTCTCAGTTTAAGGAGCCAACAATTAGGAATTTTGATCAGCTTACAGTGATAACTATTGAGGAAGTGGATTGTCATTTATTTGTGATTTTTTGTGAGCAATTTTAATTTGGCAGCTTTTAAGTATAATTCAGGCTAAAATGTTAGAAACATTTATATTTCTTATGCAGTAGAATTTTGAGTGGAAAATTTTAAAAGAAAAATAGAACTGTTAAACCCGAGAAAAATGTTAAAGGCAGAAATGGTAAAAAAGTATTATTCTACTCCAATTCCTTTGCCCTTTTAACTTTTCTAGTGGCTTTTATACCGAAACACTGAAATTAATTACTATGCTAACATTTTGTAAGCTCTGAAAACAAGTTTAATATTCAAGAATTCTGAAAGTGTGAATAATTAATTTAAGTTAAACATTCTGGCTTGTTAAGAATAGAACATGATGTCATAGGTTATTATAAAATATCTTATCTTCAAACTTTAATAGTGTTTCTYATTTGAAGTGTTGAAAGATGTGTCTATTGATAATTTGGTCAGCCTTATTTGGTTGCTGCATTTTGTATGCAAATTTAACTGACAGTATTTACAATATGGTCTAAATAGCTGTTGGAGAGGTATTACACTAAATGTATTTTCCACTTAGTAAATTTTATGCGGCATATTTATTTAATGCTTTGCATTTTATAGATTTTCTATAATGTATTTTAATATTTCAAATGCATTAAATCCAAATTTATGGTAATTATTTAGATGTCATGCAGTCCATTTTACTTTATATAAAATATTTGTAGAACACAAAATGTAATCTAAAACTTGAAGAGTGTAATCTGATAAGGCATTGTAGTCACTGTTCCCTGAGGGTTCCCCTGTGATTCTTGGTCTTATGTCAGTTATAAAAGGGTGTTTTTTTCATAACTTTGTATCACTGCTTGTTGTTTGATTGATTTTTGATTTTCAAAAAAAATATTTTTTTTTTTTTTTTTTTTTTTTTTCAGAGAACTGTTGACAAACACCAAGGACAGATAATTAACATGGATGACTTCAGAGCAATTTATCGAGCGCTTGTACACAGACCTGAATATGAAGAACTGTTCAAGGCTTACTCGTCGGATGGCAAAACTATACCTGATGCCCAGCTCATTAAATTTCTCATAAAAGAACAATTTCAGACTGACGCTGGTGAAACAAATGCATTAGAAATTATTATGAAGTATGAACCCATTGATGACGGTATGCACAGTTTAAGTATTTGATATCTAGCTCTTATTTATTGTGCTTCAGCCAATGACTGTTACACAAAACTTTCTACCTTTATTTATTTAAAAGCAATGTATTTTTATCTATTTATTATTTCTTTCTATGTTTTATTTTCATGGCGCCCTTCTTTCTCTGCTCTTATCTTTTTTCTGTAATTTCTTTCTTTCTTTTCTTGTCCTATATATTCTGTTCTTCAGCTCATTACAAAGCATTTTTAACTTGTTTTTCTTAAGGTTCTTATCTGCCATTTTACTTGTCCACTCATTGCACTGTCTTCTCTCCCTTGAGTCATTTAGAGATAATGCTGGGCCTCAGACAAGACTTGTATGTCCCCTGGACTTGTTTGCAGAAGCACTGTGTAAGACCTTGATAGGTGCCTGGTTACCCTTTCTGAATCACAGGAATTCTGAGATGATGGGTGGTYCATAAATCTGTAATGTATTTATTCTTCACCTATTGAAAGGTACCTCAAGTTGTGGTGTAACACTTYTGCTGTGTTTCACTGAATCCTAGCTTGAAGCAAAATTTGCASCTAAGCTATGAACAGGGCATAACTGCATTTTGCTGCAAGCTGTTATTTTATTCAGTAGAATATGAATCTCAGATGTTTAATTCTTTAGTTTCCTAATTTCCCAGTCTTTGAAAATGGGTGGAATTGATAATTGGGTAAGAAAAACAAACCCAAGGAGAAAACATTTCTTTTGGAATAATAATCCAGGATTATCTATGCTGATCCTGTGTTGGAAGAAGAAAATGGAAAATGCCACTTTTTCAATGAGAAACAGAAGACAGTTGGTGCTTCATTAAGAGGCACTTATGGTCTAGCAATAGCTGTAAAACATGTGACTCCTTATGTGTTTAGTCTCTGAAGTTTCAAATTTTTCACTGTATTTTATTGAACCCATTCTACCCTTTCTGAGGAACTAATATATTTRCTAATTGTACAAGTTACCAGTTTAAAAGGTTGCTTTTATTTTGTGTTGTCTGTTTTGATGGAAAGGTTAAAACACAGTAAAACAATGAAAAATCTTCAGTCCATTAGAACACACATTTGTAAATATAAACCGGAATTTCTATAGGTTTAATTTAATGTCTGCTTTAAATTTTCAATGCTGAGACAAATTMTTGTTTGTTTCTTCATCTGTGATAAAATTGTCTTGTAATTGGAAAAAATCTTGTTGAACAAAATAATGTCTGCATTTTCATGCTCCTTTGAGTGAATTCAAACTCCCACTCAAACATGTTTATTGAAAAGCTCCAGTTATGATTGACATGATAGGTGATTCATATGGTATTGTGATAGACCATTTTGTGTAACTGTCATTCTGAATTTGCTATGGAATATAATTCATCAGGATAATCTATTGGACTCATCTGCCACCCTTGCCCCATGTATTACAGAAAGGGAAAARGGCAGGTTTTGACATTTGATTGACAGGTTTGTTAATAGTAATGACCATTCTCTGATAAATGTGATAGCACTGGTTGTGCCAAGATTAGGATGAAAACAGTGACTAGGCTTTACACACAACTTTGATAAATACATTTATAGCATTTAGTGAACACCCCTAACATTTGTGCAGAGAGTTTCTCAAAGCTACTGAGCCAGATAACTCTGATTTTACTCTCTGTGACTACTGTAGCTAGTTCAAGACAGTATGGAACACATTACTCTCCCATTTTTATTGCACAATTTAAATGTCTAATGTCAAAATGCTGAACTAACAAATTTTTTCATGTCTGTGCTAAAAGCTTGCATTTCTGGCAGGAAGAACCATTTCTATGGAATTGATCACAAAATATGAATATGCGATTCACACCTGACGGTTGMGTCTTACTAACGCTGTTTTATTCCTCACAAACATTCCATTATATGTCCATTTTGCTATTAAATTTGAATAGAAGCCTTGACTCATTAAATGAAATTAAAGAAAACGTGCAAACTAAATGCACTCTTTTTTTAAGCTTGGCATATATGTTGGGGTTTTTTTTTATTATTATTTTTTTTAAATGCTCATTATTCAGTATTTACATGGGTAGGACTGGAGGCACAGTGAGCATAAGAAGTTGCATCCCACTATTTTTTCCACTGTAGTGCCATTCGAAGACTCAGCTCCTGCTTCTATTTTCCTGCTAGACAATACAAAAAAAGGGCAAAAATACAATCCTGTCTTAAAAAAAAACATGCTTACTTTGTAAATAACAGTGTAAGTCTGGTGCATCTGTCAGATAAAGCCTTTGAGTAATCCACAATGTATTTGTGAATCAAAAAACGATTTTCAGTTTATTCCTAGGATACACAGTTGAGGGTTTTTTAAGGCTTTTTTTGTGCATGTGTGTGACAGACAGAGCAGGATGGAAAGCATAAATTTGTGGGAGAGAACATTTGATCCCATTGGCCAATGAAGATCAAACTTAACAAAGTGGAGATCTCTGCCAAATTCCTACAGATTTCATAAAAAATCATGTGAAATAAGAAAGATTATTTAAAAATCTCAACTAAGACAATGGCTGTTGCTGGGTTTGTGAGACACAGTAATTCAGATGTGTGAAAAGGTGTGTAAATAATCAGCCTCAGGGAAAACTTTCAACAGAAGAAGATGATTGTGAGATATAAGCTCTTAAAAAAYTGAACTGCTGTTCAGACAGATACTTTATTCTGGTATGCACCAGTTATAAGTGTGGTTAAGGTGGAAACAAGATTCCCTAGAATATAAACTCAGAGTAGAAAAGGAATAACTGTGTTTCTACTTTAGTCAAGGAAATATTTCTCTCTTTACTGTTCCCTTATAGGATGAATGTTTTAGTCTGGTGTAAAGTTGTCAAGTTTCATAGCATGAAATTCCATCTGATGATGTTTCTGCCTGACTTTTAACGAGGATTGAAATCTTCCTTCTTCCAATATAGTAGAGTAGCACCCTTGTTTCTGCTTGCAAGTATTTCTCATGAGTTCACCTCTGAAATTCCCAGCAGATGCATCTGTACCCATTTCACTWTTTCTGGGGGCCAAGAAACATATGCATTTAATTACTGCCTTAGCTCTTGGGAAACAAAGAACACACACATATATTTAAAAACATGGCAAGCACCTTTGTCCCCACYTCAAATTCAGTTCAGGCTCTTTTCCTCCCACCTCCCCAGTCTCTCTTTCTGTCCAGACACCTCTCCTTCCACACTGCCAGGGCTTCCACACTGCCAGGTTGTACTCAGTCCCTTCAGTGAGGAAACAGGTCTTGCAGGAGGCTCTGGCCAGTGCATAGTGATCTCCTAACGTTTTATCTGCTTCAGCTTGGGTACTCTACAGGCCTTCAGGGCAGSAAACACCTTATGAAAGTTTTCATTTTTTTCTTCCCATAAAGGRAGAAAAATACTTTCTAATAAGTTCCAAGATAAATAAGAAAGCAGAATGTAATGAACTCTAAAAATAATGTATGATGTAATCCAAGTCTTTCAAATACTCAGATTATATCCATAATTCCTCTCTGATAGATCAGTATTTGTATATATGTCAGAGCTGGAGTTTATCTTAACAGGAGAAATGAGGAAAAGAATTTTTTCTCAAATCAAATTTGAAAAAAAATCCCAATATAACAAAACATTGTTAGCAAAATGAATTCCAGAGTATTCAAAAAAGGAGAGCAAGAAAAAATCATTGAACTTTGTTAACAAAAAGAGCAATGAGAAAGCAGAAATCTTTTCTCGTCTTCCCTTTCTACAACAAATGCATATGTGTGTGCACACCAACTGCTGCTAAAGGGTCCTAATGGAGAAAAAGACAGGTTCCTCCAGGGGAGAAATGTAAGGCCTTGATGAAAGTCTTTTCACTGTGGAATAGTTAGGGAGATGAATTCCCATTTCCTTTAATGTAGAAGTAGAAAATGTCTGTAAATGGTCAGAAAATGGTGTGATTGGACTACTCCTCAGAAATGTAAGGGCCTGTAATAAGCTCTATAAAAATACAAAGATTTTTAGTTTGTTGATTGTAGACATGAGCCGAATGTTTTACTGAAGTCCAAGAGCTTTCACATTGACTAAAAAAGCAATGCTATATTTCCATTTTTGGTGGATTACGGTCATCAGCATATTTGCCTAAACATTAATTTCTCTTGAGAATATTGCAGTTAACTTTTGTCAATAACAAGAACAGCCAGGAAATCATCATAAATAATTCAGAAAATAAGCAAGACTTTGAAAAGCCAGTATTTATCATTAATKTAATAAATAAATGCAGAAAAGGTAAGAATTGTTAGAAAATAAAATACACATGCACACAGTGTCACTAGCTCTACTTGCAATTGCTCAGAGAAAAAGAGAAATATATAGACCATGAAAAATAAATTAATCAGAAATTAAATCCAGATATTATTGTTGAAAAGCCTTTGCTTCAAAGGAATTAAGTCTACAGTTCATGTAATTCATTATAGACAAAGCACACRGGGTGAATGTACTCTGTTTTGAATAATGTAAAATAATTCAAAATGTTTTTTAAAGATTCATAAAGTAGAAAATTAATCCAATAGTTACAAGTATRGAACAATATAGCACACATATGGATAAATCTAAGTCAAGATACTAAATAAAATACCATTTTTAAGAGTCATCAGAGTAGYGATAAGCAATTCTGCAAATCTGTTAATTAAAAGAAAATCAAAGAAATTCCTGATACAGTAAGTATAATATGCTCCTTAATATTATTAATTAGAACAGAATAAGATCTCCRTCAAAAATATGGATAAAACAGTGTAGGACCTTCTTAAATGATGTAATCAGGTCAGTGATGACAGGTTGACAAATCCAGGTTCTTAACAATTGACTGTAACAAGCTTGACTAATACAAGTCAAAGGTTATTTTTGAAAATAGGGGGAATATGAATGATGAATTTAAAGTCTGGAAAAGATCAAATGTAACATCTATTTTAGAAAGGGAACATCCAAGGAGCTAGACACAGCCAGTTACCAGAAAAAAAAAGCTGAACAAATAACAAATATGCAAAACCCCTCTAAGATGGTAAGGATGATTAGCAGCTTGTCAGGACATTTCATTCAGAAAKAGCAGCCAGTTTTCTTCTGTGAGAGAGTAACAGAACTGGTGGATAGAAGAAAAAATAAAAATTATCAGAAATTTAAGAAAACAGAACGATGCACTGGGTTGGATTTGTTTTTTGTGGAAAGCAGCAGAATGARGAAAGGGCAATAGCAGTTTTCATATGTAAAAGTGTGAAAAAAGAGGAGAGGAATAATGCCAAACAGAAAAAAAAATTTGGACAGCAAGGAAGTTTCAGAGCAAGCATCTGTTTCCAAGTTAYGGAAAACTTCCTAATAATATGGTTATATAATTGTTTAAATGGTTTTCCTGAGTTGCCTGTGGATTCTTCATCAATGTAAGTCTGGAAGAATAACTTCAAAAAGACTTCTGGTAGGAATAACTGTTGTTGGGTGAATGTRTGTTTGCTGCCTGGATGGCCTTCATTCTTCTATTTTTCCTTATCATTTTAAAACACTGCAAGKTTTCTAGTTCAAAAACCTGTGTAATTGGGAAGTAATTATTTTCTGTAAATTCTCATTCAGGTGTAAAACTTTCAGTCTGTCACAGACTGAAGAAATAGAATTGCAATTCTAACTTGTAAATTCTGATTCTTATAGCTGTAGTAAAAATTAACAGGTCAGAAAAGGGGTTTTTTGTGCAGGTTCCCCCTTACCCCCCTTTTGGTTTTGTATACACACSTCTAAGTTATTGTTAGCATAAAGTAATCTTGGATTACTTGCTGTTTATTTATCATTAGCCTACTGTGATGACAATAAAATTATTTTAGAGTAAGAACCGGGCAAAATCGCTCACTAATTCAAACTACGTTTTGCAGCAAAGCTGACTTTTGAGATCATATTTGCAAAATGACTGCATTTGAAATATGACATTGGGAGCAGTCGTTGGCACTGTAATGGCTCTGTTTGTCATTAAATCAGTCAAAACGAAAACAAATGGGATAACTATCACTGGTATGGAGACAATTAGCTCATTTTGTTATAAATGCAGTAATGTAATAAGCTTGATTTGCAATTCATCTGTGTGGGCAGTAATTTCTTTTTTTAAGATGCTATTCTTATTTCAAATATTTCTAAACATTATTTTATCAACATTTATTTGGAATTTTTCACCACTGAGGAAGACATTTGGTACTAGGAATCATAGTTTTTGTAAGATTATATTGGGAGTCTCTGACTAGCATTTTAGAGAACAATCCTTGTTCTTTTAAAAGATGAAAGAAGATTCTCCTACTGAATTGACTGCAATGTTACTTTCCAAACTAAACAACAAATATTTTCCTTAAATTAGGACTACTGCAAACTCTTCTTACTGGTGTCCAAAGAAGAATAAAAATGTCAGAACACATTTATTTCCGCTGAAAAGTTTGAACCACAACAATTCAGTTCCAGAGTCACACATATCTGATGTTTGTTTATACATTTGTTTCGAATACATTGTTTATACATTTGTTACGAATTTCAAAATTGCAGGAAAGAGTTGTGCTGTATAAACTTTAGCAGTGTTCAGAACTGGCTATTAAAAATTTCAGAAAGTTCATAGATATAATCATCAGTATGGCTTCACATCAGAGATTTTTTTTATTTTTATTTTTGTTCAGTGAGGAAGAGAAGGCATCTGTCGTTTGAAGGATTTATAAGGTATATGAACTCAGACGAATGTTCAGTATTTAAAAGCGAACACAGGACCATCTACCAAGATATGAACCAGCCATTATGTGATTATTATATTTCATCTTCTCACAACACCTACTTGATATCTGATCAACTAATGGGACCCAGTCATTTATGGGGATACACCAGGTACTTTGATATAGTTTTTAAATATTTTAACATTCTTTGGCTTTTTTTTTTTTAAATGAATACTAAGTCACGCATAATCCTACTTGGCAATAAGGGACAAAGCCATCACAGATACAAGTTGAAAATGTGAAAGTGATACTTTATTTTGTGTGTACACTTTTMAATATATTTGCCAAACCATGTGCTCATAGTCTGGAAACAATCTATTTTTTCACTTACATCTCAGAAAATTAACCTTGCAGCAAATGAAATCTATAGTGTGGTGCACAGTATACAATTAAATCAGTTTTTAATTTCAACACACCATGCAAAAACAAGTAACTGCCTGAAAGAAACGTAAAATTCCTGGGCAAGCTCTAGTCTGATCAATGTACGGGATGTATGTTGGGGTATATCTATGTTAAGGATATCTGTGGTCAATGCATGCTGCAATGTAGGCAGTTTAGAAACAACAGCAACAAAATGTGGGCACTCAAGTAGCCAGCAGGAAGAGGAACCTGTGCAGTGTGAGACTCCAAGAGGATGATGATCAGGATGCCTTATTGTCAAGACAGGGAAGAAAGAAATAGATCATGTAATAAAGGCAATACAGAGAGGTCAGGGAGTATTAAGAATTAGGAAGAGAGTTGTCCAGAATTCCTGTTATTTGTGTGACTTTAGTGAAGAGAAAGCAGATGGAACCGTTATCTATGTGAGCTCTTGTTTTTTGGTTGCGCTCTTAATGTTCTATAGTRACTTGCAACCATCAGAAACAATACTGAATTTCTAAGAGAACTTAAAATTCCATGATGTTACTACTGCATTGCCAAAAGTAATTGCAAAGAGGTATAATCCCGTCTCTCTTCCTTTTTATATACTATTTGTGTGAGGAAAATACTAAAATCAGCTAGAGGCATATCGGACATATTGTTAATATGTGAAAGGCAGCGTGTAAAAGATGGATTGGTGATTAAGTAAAATAGATTACAAGAAATGTTTAAATTCATTGCAAGTCAAATATTAGAAACCCAAGAATTTAAGGGATGCCATTAACCTATTGAAAATTAAAGCAGTAAATTTAAGGGGCTTGAGAAACTTTAGTACTGTTAGAAATAAGGTCAGGGGAGAGCCACTGACTTAGGTAAAGACCAAGTGCAACTTGATTTTCTAAGTGCAATGGATTTTTAAAAACAGTGATTCTCAAACTGGCAGGCAAGTTTGGAATAGTAATAGAAAAGACTATTTAAAATATTTATTCTTTTCTTTTAAGTGAAAATTTGCCTTTATTCCAAAATTCCTTTATTAAAATCTTTGACCTTTGTTTTAAGTCTTTTAAGGAAGGTAATTCAGGTAATCTGAATTACCTATTAGAGCATTCTTTAATGCTCTAATAAAATTTATTACCTAACACACCTAAAATAAACAATAGAAAGTATTCCTGCCTCATATATGTCTGATTCTGTGGGGTTTCTTTTTATTTATGGTAAAAAATAGGTTTTTTTTTTTTGTGTAATTACTCAATGTGCTTGTAATCAGAAATATAACAACTTGTGTAAAAAAGTGTGGTATTTTTCTTTTAATGGYAAAATTCTTTCCCTTCTTCTTCTGAAGTGCTCTTTTAAAAGGATGTCGTTGCCTGGAAATCGACTGCTGGGATGGCAACAACAATGAACCTATTGTGTATCATGGTCACACTTTAACAACCAAAATTCCATTTCGTTCTGTAATTCATGTGATTGACAAGTATGCATTTATGGTATGTATAGATATATGTATGTATATATAGGCTGGTTAGAATGTAATGGTGGATGTAACAAAGTCCAGGGACACGGCTATTGTCAGAAATACTCCAGGGTAAAAAAGGTCAGAGACAGTGCTTGTGTCAATAAGAGTTATTAAAAATTAATTACTGAACAATTGCGTTATTTGTTCGTAATGTAGCTTATTTTTTTTATAATTTTAAATACATTTTCCTGATTATGATAATAAGCCAAACTTGGTGCAAAGAATTCAGGTGATTGTACTCAGCTTTTTATGTGGAATTCTCACCTGAGGCAATGTAATCAAGGACTGAATATAAAGAGAAGAACTAGCTCAGGATTGGTCTGATGTTTTACTCTTTCTTTATATCTTTTAAATGTTTTTACTCAACCTTTTCTTTTGCCCCTATCAGTCTGTCGTATATCCTACATGGGAACAGACAAAAATACTAAATTATAGATGAGTTTGAGGCTTTGTTTTCCATTTCTTCTCTTTTCATTTTGAATGATGAACCTGATAAACCTTAGCAGCTCCTGATGTCTTTTTGCCAGGTGACTCATCAGGGCAAAGTCCCTTCTGCCTATCTCTGGAAAAGCACTGAATACTGGAGAGTTTTTGGTACTTTGTCAGAAACCTTTTGTATAGGTTTCTGGAAAAACTCCTTCTCAAATGAAGTCTAAACTGACTACTAAGATAGCTCTCAGATTCAGGCCAGCATTTTGTATATGATGTATACATCTATGATCATAAATTTATATGGATTTTTATACTTATRTGTTTATAACCTTCTGAATGTTAATCAAAGCTGTGGGTTTTTCTGTTCTGTTTTCTATGTACAAATCATTAGTTTCTGATTTTAAAAGTGAAATTAAAACTATTTATTTCACTGTTCTTGAAGAGACTCATTGGATATAACTCTTCTGTTCTTGCCAATACACACCATATTGTACTTAACTTTAATGCAAACTTCATTTCACAAGTCCAAGTGCCAATGAGATGATAAAATCACAATAGATAATGGTTGGTACCAGCTGTCTATCCCAGCTGAGCTGTGCTTGTATTAACAGTCAATAGCAAAAGCTCAGGGGACAAGTGTAAAGATAGACAAAGCAGAAAATGGTGTTTTCCTTWCTGACTGCAAATTGGGTCCTGCCTGTACAAAGATTTCATTCAGACTATTTGTTTCCAGTAGCCATCATGTTACTGGCAACTTATGAGGTTTATTTATAGAATCTAAATAGATGTGTTTCTTTTATTAGAACTTTTATTAGAGCTATTTAATTTTTGCTCAATTTTCTTTTATCACCTGTCTTGTTTGAGTACTGTRATGAGCAAAGTGTAAAAAGAGTCCCAAAAAAATTTTGTGATATTATGAAAAATAATAAATCTGCATAGTTTGTTCCTGTGAAAAGGTAATGACTTCTGGACAAGCTTTGGGGAGACTATCAATTTAAAATGAAGTAAATTAAGATCTGTCATAAACTGAAACAAAAGACATTTAATCCTGCTTTACTTTGTTAATTTTTARTTTTAGAATCTGATTTTGTCTTTTAAAACCAAAACAAAACAGTTCTTTTACACATTTGCATATGTCTACCTCTGTTTTAACTTTCTGAAGGCACATTTTTTTCTTCATCAATTGTGCTTTCTCTTTTTCTCAAATATTGTGAGCCTTTTTGTTGCGTTAAGAACCTGAAACAACTGATCTGTATTCTGAATGCTTTGAAAATGAAGGTAAATACAGATTGCAAAGGAGACTTTTATAAGATATTTTGTATAATCAATTATTCATATTTTTATTTACTAATAATAAAATCTTAAAATTCTATTTCCAGTCATCTGCCTATCCAGTTGTACTGTCTTTAGAGAACCACTGCAGCCCTAAACAACAGGAAGTAATGGCAGAATGTATGAAAAACATTCTAGGTGAAAAACTTCTTTCTTCACCAATTGGTGGTGAAGTAGACATGACTCAACTGCCTTCTCCTGAGGTAATAAGTTTTTATTTTTCTCTATAGAGATGGCAAAAAATTTGGTTTAATTTTTTTTTTTCTGGTTAATCCTCTGAAACTGAATTTATGAAACACATCTGGCGTCAGAAATAGAATTCATGTAGTAACAAAAAAAATATTTAAACAGTACAAAAAAGCCACATGGAAAGATGTCACTTGTTGCTCTATCTGTTACCTAATTTATTTTTTGTTGCCTAAATTGGAGGAAACTCCTGGAATTTAAACAGGTTATTGAAATGAGTCTGCTTTTTTTTTTTTTTTTTTTTTTTTTACAGTTTATTTTTTTTTTTTTTTTTTTTTTTTTTTTTTTTTGTCAATAACAGTGATGATGCAGCTTTTTCTTTGCATTCTGCTACTGCAAAGCCATTCTCTTTCTCAGTGTGTTTCTCCTTAAGACCGTATCTCAGGTGGTGGCATGAGACCCCTGAGATATGAAGTCAGAAAAGACAATTAGATGGGTGTTGAAAATTTTATTGCAAACTAAACCAAATAAATTTGCATTGTTGCAGTCTTTGCACATAATTTTCTTTCAAGGGGAAAAGTTTTTTTAAATTTCTTGTAGCACAAATACATGCATACATAAAAATATACTTATTTAGGCTTGTCACTGGTGCCAGTGACAGCTATATTTTGTCCTTTTTTTACAGTAGCTGAAAAAAATTGCAGATGAAAAATACATTTACTATATAAATTATTCGGCCAACAATTTTTTTTTAAATTGTAACACCTTTTTTTTTTACATCAAAGTGTCCAATATAATTTTGAAACCCTGAAAAATGTTTTGTAAATTAGAAAAAAATATAAACTATATTGAACATGAGAGCTTGTTTTAAAGCATCTCAAAGCATGGCTGGATTAGTGAACTACATCTCTAAAGACCATATGCCCTTCATAGCAAGCACAAAATCAGTGACCGTGGAGTCACTGAATCACATACTTAAAAATATTAYTTTCTATGACCTATGTCCCTCACCATATGATTACTGTGACAAATGGAATTCAGATATCATATTTCCATAGCTCAGAGTTTTCATGAGTCAGCTCCGTAGAGTTTTTGCCTTAAAATACATTGCTGGGTCTGTAAGTATGGAAATGCTGTCAGGTGAGACTCCTTCTCCTGAACTTTTAACAAAGTAATGTGAGATGTATTGCATACCTATGTAYGGGTTAACTAAAAAATACTACTATACTCAGCTATTTACAAAGTCTGAATATAATAAATCATTATCTTAAGAATGAACAAAACCTAGGATCATCTCCATTTCTCCTCGATTTTCTAATCGAGCATGTAAGAAAAATCAGTAGGATTTTACTTAGCAATGGAAATATGTAGCTATGATTGAATTTGTGAATTCAGTGATAAGCTTGACTTTTGGTTGGGATCTTTTTGAAGAACCACTTTTGGTTCCATGTTCAAAAGGAGTTTAGCGGCATCACATTTTTAAAGCTTGGGACCTTGTGCACTTTCAAGGTCTGAGTAAATTCATTATCATTTGAGTAAGCCAAATGCTGAATTTAGTCTTCAGACTGCTTTATTTAAGCTGTGCAAAGAGATGTTGCAGAACCATAAAAGATGAATTTAAAAGTACTCTCTGTGGACTCATCACCTATACAATTTACAGTTCCACTTTTTTCAAGATGGARCACGAGCAAGAATAGGGGAAAAAGCCAGCTCAGTGCTCAAGATCAGAATTAAATGGTTCTCCTRTGTGTACATGAAGTGGGATACACACTTTCTCCAAACACTGCAGAGAAACATTTGCCAATTACAGGTTCCTTTTAGGTTTTGGAGTTTTGGAGCTTCCATGGAAATTATTTTCTCTTCTCTTATATTGTCAATCTTTTRCATCCTTTTTAAAGTTGATTTTGAGCTATTTCTTTGTCAGCTGTTTGTGTGTGTCTCGAAGGAGTTAAAAATGAGGAACAAACCCATTCTTAGGTGGTTCCTTGGACAACCTTGCAATGATTTATCCTACCATTGTAAGTCTAAGTGAAAATTGGAAGGTCAACTAGAAAAGAAAAATGGAGGATAACTGAACACTTCTTTTCTCTACTTTTCCCCAACACYTTCTTGCCCTGAAAAAACAAAGAAAATTTCAGGAAAAAAAGTTTTTTTAATTCTTTGGCCTCAGTCATATATTCTCATTCCCAGCTGACTATATTGATATTGTTAACTCCCTGCACAGAATCACAGAATCACAGAATTACCAGGTTGGAAGAGACCTTCAAGATCATAGAGTCCAACCTGTAATTTCTGTATTCTGTAGCATCTCAGCACACAATTTTTCCTCTACATATAGAGGAAAGAAAAGGCTTTTGCTCTATTTTCTTTTTTCTTTCACACAGACTTTATCTCATGAGAAACTGAGGCTGCCCTTTAGCTTCACCAATCTCTTCTATCTCCTTYCCAAGCAGATGTTTGGCCACCCAAAACAACAGACCCACTACAATTATCTCCTCCCAGTCTTGGCCATCATGGTGCTTCTAAAGAGAATTCATGACCTTCCGCTAATATTCRCTGGAATGTCATGTCCTTTGAGTCAGTGACTCCTTTGAATCACATTAAATGAGATTTGACTTCGTTGACTGGTGCCAGACATCCCTGCTGGTTGCACCAGCACTCCTGGTGACAGGCTGATAGAAAGTGATGGAATGAAGTGTTTTATGYAGCAATTTTTAGATGAACTTAGAAAATAGGATGCTAGAAGAGATAAGGTTTTCTTTGCCCTGCTGTGTCCTTCCTCTCCAAGAAGCTTGACAGCTMTTGAAAGAAACATGTAAGCATCCAATGTACCACAGAAAAGAATGTAAACACACTGATGCTTTGATGAAGGTTTGTTTCTCAATTATTTTGCATTGTAGTGCATTGAACTGCCTTGCACTGCTGACAGGAGATATATATCAGATAGTTAGGAATTTTTTATTATTTGCAGGTTTCCTGTCACAAAGTTGGAATGAGATATTGATGCGTTATTAACTGAAAGTGAAGTGGCAACTACTGTGATTTTACAAGTTGTCTTTAATGTTTACCACACAGCTGCAAGATCAATGACTATATTGTGGTGATTCAGAAGCATTTCTGGCAAGGCTTCCCCATGGTTGTTAAACTTATGGTGTCCAAATAAAAGGACCTGTTTAATGATCTCCTYGAGAAAGATTAATAAAAGCTCTCCAGAACAACTTTATGAGTTAGGGACATTTTAAATTCYGCTCTTAGGGGGAAAACCAGCTAACCCCATAAGGCAGGAATCCTTCTTCACCCTTTTCTTCACCTTTATCTACTCAGTATACAAAGGATCTCTCTCTACACAGGGCCTGTTTTCACTGAGAAATGCAAGAGCAAGCCTGCCTTAGCATATCTAATTCTGTTGCTTCAGTGATGAGATTATTTACTTTTTTTTTTACCTACAAGTCACATATGCAAATAGCTTGGTCAAGTCTTTGCACCAGAAATCTCTTTGCTTCTTTGGAAGTAAAATATTTCTAGTCCACTGATTTTCTTTTCAATAGGTCTGTGGCATCTATTCTTTACCAAATAAGAAGAAAGACATGAGACTGTTGCATGTCCTGGTGATGACCCCAAAAATAAGAAAATCAGTATTGTTTATCACAAAATTTGTGGATTCTCTAGGCTGTAGTGAGAACTTACAGAAGGCTCATCTGATTCCTACATTATTTTTAGGCATTGCACTCTTTTTGAGGGAACATGGTTCTCCCAAGAAATGTATTAAACATGTAACAGTCGCTATCATTAACAATTCCCTGTATTGTAAATCAGCTTCAGAAGATAATTAAAACCAAAACATTGTCATATTTTATAAAATCAGCCAGGTAGGTCTTGGGTTGATGGTATACTTGTTGTATAAAAATCAGATCCTTTGTTTGGCAAGGTGTCTTCTTGGAACACTGAACAGTAGTGAGGAATCTGTGCATGAGGACTCTGAGCACACTGTATTAATATCCTGGCCCACCTGTTACCACCTTTCACTGCAATCATCCTTTGGATTTCTTTCCAGTCCATCCAGAGATTTAGTTGCCTGTGTAGAATATCATCTCAGACACCACACAGCTGTTTAGCCTTGCACCAGACTCACCTGAAGTCTGCTACATAGCACAACACAAAACTGGAATTTTTAGGGTAGGGGCTTTCTCACTGGGTAAATGTGTTATATGAAACCTTCTTACGACGTAGCTAAAAATCTGCTCCACATATAATTAATATCTGTTTAACTAGAGCTGAGACATTGCTGGATGTATTGATTTAAAGTATCTCAATAACTGTGATTTATAAGGCTGCCACAAAGACATCCATTCACACTTTACAAAGTGTGATTCTCTTGAATTGTTAGAAAGCTGCCTCTGGTTTTTTTTTTTTTTTTAACAGTTGTACTTAACAAATCTTGTCATTGTCTCAAAACCCTTCTCTGTGTTAGACTTCACAGGAGGTGTTGCATCCTCACCCTGTATCAGGGTATTTAAGGCAGCAATATAATTCCTGAAATAAAAYATTGTGTAAAACTTGGAATAGATTTTACCCTTGTTACTTAGCAAGATTTTCAGGACTTGGTATTCTTCTAACTAAGCACCTGCAGCTGGTCAGGAGAGGAGAAGGGAAAAAAACAAACTAAAGTTAAACAGGAGAAGCTATTCTTTTTTTAATGTTGATATTTCAGACCCAGAGTTCTCTACATTTCCAAGGACTGAATTTTTACATWATTTGCAGTGATGAATAGGTGGGTTTGCCTGATCCAAAGTGCTTGTGATTTTGGTCTTGGAAACTTGRCATTACTTCTGCTGATTTGTGTTGTACATCACGTTAACCAGAATGTACAGTAAAAAAGTTTTGTTCATTTAATTATGCAATTATTTGTTCCAGTTGATTGTACTTGGAGGCTTTTGTTTATGTCAGTCTTGAAGTCCCACTATGCTCTAGGGAAGATCTATTATGTTTTACATATGTAAATTTTTTAGTATGCATACAGTTTATATAGAAGTAAATGGCAAATGTATTTTTAATATATTTTGCYTTTCATAATAAAACTAGAAAGGAGAAATTATAGTGGATGTTCAGACTTTTGGCTTATTAAAAGACTTTTCTGCTCTCTTAGAAGATTTGTATACTTATAGAAAAGGTGTCACATGTTTAGCAGGCCTGACTATCAATTYGAGAAATCAAATTTCACTGCGTCACTGATTTTGTAATGATACATTTGTTGTAAGTTTTTTTTTAAGATATGTTTGAAGTTTAGACATAAAATCCTTGGTGTCTTGTTTTTTTCAGTCTATGGTTCACTTTCAGTTTTTTGGGGTAACTTTTATTGGAATTTGCTTCTAGCCAAAAAATAGCAAATTTTCATATTACTGGGGTATCTTCTGTAACTGTTTCTGAAAAGAGCTGTGATTATAAAATGTTATCTTTGTAGAAGACAAAAAAAAGTCTTAGAAAACTTGACCTACCTCAGGGTGTTTACATTTTTGCTAACAGTTCATAAACAGAATTTTAGAAACTGACTTAAAATATCATGACCCATTTTTATATCATCACTCACACACACACATTATGGTCTTTTTTTTGCTTTAAGAAGTTTGCATATAGGAGGTAGTAATGCAACCATACAAAATGTTTCCTTCCCTTGTATACCAGGTTTTCTTTTTTTTTTTTTTTTTTCTTTTGAAGAATTAAGTCTTCCTGTGAATAAAAAAATACAAGCTCAAAAGTGGATAAAATTGCTTTTAAATATTGGGARATACAAACATGCAAAGGAAAATTCAGAACTCTTTAAAAATATGAGTAGTATTGAGCATATTAAAGCTCCTCTAAAAATATCACAAGAAAAAGAAATGAGTGCATCAATAAGAAATGAAGRCAATGTTAAAAGGCATCCTTATTCTGAGTCGCCAGTGCAGAGAGACTAATCAGACCTTCCAGTAGCATGGCATTGATAGATATTGGTCATAGGATGTCTCATTCCACGGGCACCCTGGCAAACCACCAACACAAGATCTGAAGCAATAAGGGTATTATAAACAAGGGAGATTACAATGGAAATAAATGGAATGTGACTTTCCTTGCCTATGGCTCTAGTTTCCATTATAAAACTTCGGGTTTATATGTTTCCATCATCCATAKGTTTCCTATTTACTTAGTGGATACCTTAAAATACAGCTCTTCAGATACCTCTCTTTTATTGTGAAATTAGTTGTTCTCTATTTTTGCTACTTTCCCAGTAGTGTAATCTTCCTTTTCACTATTGCATATGAAATTTAAGGAATGTTTTTGTGGATCATTTTATTCAAGAACAATAGCAAGTCCTGTCACTCACTGGCAGCTCCTGTACACAGATGTAGGGTTGAATATCTGCTACATAACAATTGCTTTACTGTTAGCATTATTTCAGAAATTTAACTGAAACATACACTCATGGGATTCAGGTGCATAGATGAAAGCCATGCTATTAAAATTGATGTAATTCAATGATGGTTTTTATCCCCTTTACAATATTATGRAAGTTGATACATGTCCATTTGAAAATAGAGAAATTGCTTAGGCAAAATCACAAACTGTTATTTCACTGKTCAGGTAAGAGCAGCATAAGGATCTACTGTAAAATAATACAACAAAAGTTTTAATTTGGCACGCAARACAGATATGTACAAAGGCACTAACCAAATAACAGATTTCCTGAAGCCTCAATGATAGATCAAAACATTCCAAAATAATATCAGACATGTCTTTAAGTKTTTATATACATATAAGTACATTTATGCATAGTAAAAAAATATACCTTCTATGTCTTGCCTGGCCATCACCTTTGACTCTTACTTAACTTCCTACTTTTATCTTTTCATGGTTTCAACATCTGTGCATCTGTGGTGGCAAGTCTTTTTTCCTATCATGGGTTTAGATAGTCACATTCTGTTGTGTACTTTGATCCCCAGATTGTGAGTGGTTTATTTAAGTTTGGCTTCTGCTTCACTCATATCTGTCTGTCTTTGCTTCATTTGTTAGATCACTTCACTACACTTAATAAAAAACTTTGTGCGTTAAATAATACCAAGAGATGAAAATCTAGTCACTTTTGTTTAATCTCTTTTCTACAGKCTTTAAAATTTAAAGTTCTGATAAAAAATAAAAAAGCTGGAACACATGAGGAAGCCATGCTCAGGTTGGAGAATGAATATCGTGGTGAGACAGAGGACGTGTCTGACTCAGAYGCTATGTCTGAGGACGAAGACACAGATGACACGTTGCCTCTTCAGCGATCGAGGAGTCCCACTAAAAGAAGAGGAGAACGTAGATCTACACCCCCACCTCAAAAAAAGGCAAAGGTAACTTTTGCCTCAACTGAACATAGAGAACACATAGATGTTTAAAAAAGAAAAAAAACAAAAATGACTGTATTATCTTAAAATAGAGACTAAATTAAAAAAGTTAACTTTAAAATTAGTAAGATTGGTGCATTTGGAAATGTTTTAGCTGAAGGTTTCAGAGTTTTCCTATTCTTATAGAAAAGCCAGACTGTACCACATTTTAGTATCCAACTAAAAAACAACCACTCCCTGCACTCCCATCTTGAACTTCAACTGCATTTTCTTCTTTTGAGATTTGTGCTTGTCCCATGTGCTCAGTACAACAGTAGATTTAAGATTAAGTTACCCAGGTGTTTTGTTGGTCCCATGGCCCTCCTGGAACTATGTATGGAGAACACTCAGCAGTTCCTGATAACAACAGACAGAGTTAACTATTTCTTCCCCAAGTCTACCAGTCTGTTTTCAAGACAGATTCTYCTATTTTCTTCTGTTCTGGATTTTTGCACTAAATTATGTGCACATTTTTGGCTCTGCTGAAAAATTTTGCAGCACCTAGAACTGAAACAACATTTTTACATTTATCATGTAGAGACTTAACATTAAGTACTATTTCTGAAAGTGTAAAAATTGGATGTAATCTCCTTTTTGAAAGCCAAATTGAACTTACCTTTTTTTTACCAAATATAATTCTCTACCATGGAAAATCTGTTGCTTCATCAGGGTTCAAACTGTTTTTTTCATGCTTTTTAAGTTATCAGGCAGCACCCTGTGTCGAGTCACTGTTGCACATGATGCTCTGATTACCTGAAAGTGGCCAAACTGGCAATGCCCCTCAGAGCCCAGCCTTCTTGCTGAGAGGCAGCGTCTCTTTTCTTTCTGTGATTTGATGGTCAAAGTCTTTGCTTCTTTCTCAGTCCATCTGACATGAAGAGACAGTAAGGAAATATTTTAGGGAAGGATGGAGTCTTCTTTGAACAGGAAAGGCCAACTTTCTGGATAACAGGTTCATATATTTGTAGGATCATGTTACGGACCACAATGTGTTCCACATACCCTTGATTGACRGCAGTAACAAAAGGCTTATGTTTCACAAGCAGAAGAGAAAATGGTTTCCAGGGTCCCACTSTGTTGGAGTATTTGTCCTGTTTTCCCACTATGTTGCTTTATGGAGGGTGGGGGAGCATTTGAATCCACAGCTAAGATATCCCAGTGATGCTGTTGGCTTTTCTCTGTCAGTGCCTGCCAYGTCCAGAGAGTTGTATTTCTCAGGATTTCCATGGCAGTAGATTCCTATTGCTCTTCATGGGACATAGCCTTAGAATAATTAATGCACTTGAACTTTGCATAGTTTAAGAGTCACAAGCAGGCAATTTCTATTATTCTGTCAGAGGAGAATTTGCCTTCAAAGGCTTTAATGGAATGTAAACATGATTAGCATCAGCAGCTCTCTGCTGGCTACTGCCCMTGATTAGCTCACAAGTTGTGCTACAGAAAATAAAGTGGTCACGTAGTGCCTCACTAAGAGAGAAGACCCTGGTAARATTTCAGTCACTTTCGCTTGTTTTGGTGATGGAGCAAGATTAAATTAAAATTTTGGTGAGAGAGTTTTCTACCTTAATCAAGAAGAAAAAAATTTTTCTAACTTCAGAGCAATCCTTAGAGGAATATGTGTTTGACTAATTTGCTTTGCAAGTTATCCTGTTATTCTACATTCTGTAGTTGAGTTTATGCTGTTGATCTTTCCTAAGACTTTGTGTATTTACAAATAGAAAGCTGAAGGTATATTTTAAATGAGTAAAAGCCATGAAAAARGTTGTTATTTACAAACCAGCCTTAGAAGCAGGAAAACTGCAAAGTTATCCAGAAGAATACTCTTCTAGGAAGAACTGATAACATCTCTCCACTCACCCTACAATTGTGATGATAAACATGGACACAATAACTTTAATTTTCTCTCACTGGATCAACTCTCACTATTAAAGGTCATATGTATTAAATTCATTAACTGTGACATTTTCTCATGCTTTATGCATCTAAAGTAATTGTTTCTCTGAATTATTAACATCAATAATAATGTAATATGCATTATTGTGACTTTTTCATTCTATTATTCATCTGCTGATTATTAGGTGAAGAAGGGAAAGATTGCCATTGCATTGTCGGATCTTGTGGTTTATACTAAATCTCAGAAGTTTGTGAGCTTTGACCATTCCATGGAGAATCAGAAGTGCTATGAAAATAATTCGATTGGAGAATCYCTAGCACGAAAACTTCTACGATCTTCACGTAATTTCTTTTGAGTTAATCAGTTTGTATTGTTGCTATGCTTCACTGCTTAGGCATTGGAAGGGTTAAAATTTTATGAAACATGTGCTGTCTGATTTTATTTGATTCTACGTATAACACTGGTTTAGAAACGTCCTTTGCCTTACATTTCTTTTATTTCTGTTGGTTTTGTGAGGAAAATTGAAATTCAACTTTAATTCTGCATATTTTTACAAGAACAAATATTAGCACAGTCTACAAARTGTATGTCTGCCTTTTGATTCATTGCTTTCTGCATCAAACAATTTAGAAGTTACAGTCAATACTTGAAAATGTGTGGAGTAAATTTCACCTCCCTCACCATATCTGGGCTGAGAACTCAGTGGAGTTGGCCTGCCAGTCCCCTGGCTTTGGTGWGGACTGCAGATAAGAGAGTCTCATTAACAGCATGGATAAACCCCAGAGAAGACAGTTTGCTCCACTGGACCAGACCTTTCATCCCAGCCAAGCTGGGTTATTCAAAACTCATTCAATGTTGGAGCATCTCTATTTGGTGCAGCCAGTGCAGCRCAGTCTCTGCTGCTTTAGCTCCAGCTGCCTGCCAAGAGCCCTGAGGGAGCACTAAGAGATCACTGACCATGACAATGACAATGAGGTCTGCCACATGCCCATTCACTGGGGCCAGCCCAGCTGCCACCCACCACTTTGTGGAGGTGATTCAATGGCTGGTGAGGTGAATGATGCATCAAAACGAGTAGGATTTTGCCAGCCATCCACAGACAGTCCTTTCTAGTTCCTCTAGCAAGCTTGGGAATACAAAGTAGTTGTATAAACCCACCTCCCCCCASCAAAAAACCAAACACACCAAACAAAAACAAACAAAAAATGAGAAGAGGATGAAAAAGATCWGAGAGATGACCCTCAAAATGTAGATATTTGTTTAATTACTAAAATGGAAACATGTAGATAGAAGTAATCTGAAGTTTCCCACATCTATGTAGTTTATGCCTACAAATGAGATGGGAAGGAACACTGCCAGCAGAGGGAAAAACAATGTACATGAATAGTTAACATCTTCTGAGGCTTAAAAAGGAAATATTAAAGTGGCTTTCAAAAATGTGCTGTTCCCTGGTCTTAATACTATTTAGCCATTTTATTTAAACCTCCAAACAGTAAGACAAGATCATCTAGGGATGATTTTTTTTTTTCATTTTGAGCTATTCTAGAATGAGGCAGTTCTTTGAGCAGTTTCCTGTTTTATGTCTTAGTTTCCCATGAGAACACAGTAGGTTTTAGTGTAAAAATACTGTGTTTACCTTGCAAAGATGTGAAGAAACAGAATATGTCAGGGAAGGAATGATATTTGCTTAATATACTTTTGACTTAAATCTGTACTATATTTAGAAATACTATCAGATTCAAATACACAGTAAATATTAGGGTTTTAAAATAGAATTTCAGGCATATCTCAGAGTCCATATAATAGTGTATGATATCGTGTCAAAAAAATTGATGGATCAGATTGTTGTATTTTTATTTTTTATTAAAATAGGGGCTCTTGAATAATAAATGTTTTCTTACCAAGCCTTTATCCTTTTCTTTATCAGCTAGAGAGTTTATTGCACATACTACAAGGTTTATTACAAGAATTTACCCCAAGGGAACAAGAATGAGCTCTTCCAATTATAATCCTCAAGAGTTCTGGAATGTGGGATGTCAAATGGGTACGTATGCTTGCAGAGACTATTGCATTCCAGGCTTTATTGATAGAAGAGTTTTTTGCTTCCTATAGTATTTTGGTGTTTGTGGGTTACATATTTTTCCCCAGTGGCATAATTTAAATTTTTTGTTATATAAACTTTTCCTTCAGCCCACATATCCATCAATTTTCACCCCTAGTAATCCTAAACATCACCCTGTGTTAAACAACTGTATCTTATCCCAGATATCCCATTTATTATATTTTACTAATTTCTTTAAWCTACCTTTTAAAATTGGATATTAAGAAACACTAGTAACAACTTAGCATTTTTAAGCTTCCATTACACTGCMACACAAGTCCCTTCTGAGTGCTCCCTGTGATTTGAGAGGCCCAGGAGCAGGAGATGTGAGCACAACAATTGATAGTGGTGTCTAGAATTCCCAGAATAGGAAATGCTACCCAAGGAAGGACTCAAACATTCCTAGTCAGCACAACACCCAGGTACAGCTAGGAGCTGCTGGGAGCCTCCAGACTTTGTATAGATGAAACATACATTTAGCATCTTAATTTCCAGTACAAAACAGATCAGTTTCCTTAGCAACAAAATAACAGTAACTTCTGCTTCTCTTCATTTAAAGTCATTCATTTGAATTGGTTAAAAATAGGCATGACTTCTGGACCCAGTAGGCTTTGACAAACCTCTCACCTGTGAGCGTTTTGTCCTTTTTAATGGCTTTAGAGGCAATTTCACCTTCATTTGTTTGTTCTTCAGTTTAAAAGATTCTCAGTAACAGAATATTTTTCTGTGTCTGCCTGCTACATCTCCTTCAGCCCTAGGTAAAGTAGAGCAGAATGTTTTTTGCATCCACATATAAATTCTGTCTTTTATTCTGAGTCTTTGCCAAGGCCACCTGAGGGAGACTGGGGTGAGCAGGGCACTTTGCCGTAGGCTCCCACTTTTGAGAGGTGGAAGGTATGGACTCACCTTGTTATGTTAAAATACACACTCATCCAAGGACAGGCACAGTTTTCACTCTGCCTGTAGGGCCCTGGAGCTTATGCCACCCTTGTTCCAGGCTTCCTTTTCCCCTTTCTCAGCTCCCCATATATCTTCTGTGACAAGTTACCTTCTCCATCCTGACTTTTATATTGGGGTAGAGTTTTACATAACTAGAGGAGTAAAAAAAAATACTACTTAGTATGAATGTTACTTGTTTCTGTGTCCTTATAAATGCTTATTTGCARTACAGATTTGGAACTGGTTTGGGCTATCCAAGTAACCTTCGTTACCATACTGTGTGAAATYGGTTTTGTTGTATTCTGTCCTTGTGGTCCATCCACACTTAGTGTGATGTCTGGATTGTTTACCTGGAGTGCTGCTCTCTCTGTGTGCTATCATTGCTATCTATACTATATATTGCCATTAAAAACTAGTAAGTTTGTTCCATGCTTAGAAGAAGCACTAGCCAGAGGGCCTTAATTTAAAGCGGAATTAATCTCCCGGTCTTATCATACCACATTTTTCTAGTTATCTTTCTAGCTTGCAAATCTCCACACTTATCTCTGCAAAGAATATCCATTTGTTAGATCACAGGCAGGACAAAATGATWACACTGACTGTTTACTCAGAGCATAATTTAATGAGAAGTCATTCTAAAYATTAGTATGCAAAACATATGACTTTTGGTGCAGTGGGGGTTTGGGCCCCTTCCTGGAAGAATTAAAAATATGCAGGAAGTGCTTAAATTTGCCCTSTTGGTCACTTCATTTGCATCTTCACTTCAGAAAACCTCAATTTTTCACATGGGAATAGGCTGATTAAAAACTATTCTCCAAATACATGATTTCCAAGCCATATTAGTTCTATTCTTAATTCCCATATCCGCTTCAGATAAATACAGCAGAAATACAGCTGCTCTTCACCATGTAACTCCCAAAGTGAGTGAACCTCAGTGATTTTATAATGATGTCCTTCCACTGATTTAACACAGATTTTCCAATTTTGATGTCTATCTATTTTGGTGTCTGTGTGGTCCACCCACCCTTTCTCTCTCCCCACCATTGCGCTTTACACCTCATGTACAGAAATAATCCTTCCAGATCCCTTCTATCACTTCCCTAAAACTCTTCAAAGGGCTCTCAGATTTCTCTTCTGTCACCTATTCCCCTTCTTAACTCCCTTCTCTGCCTCACACCTGTGAGCTTACCTTTAAGTTCCTTTAACATCCATAACTTTTCTGGCTGGRCAAAGAAAATATATTAGATTTTGTTCAAACCTGCATACAATATTGCCTGCCAGGCCTCTGCATCATGTACTTATGAGAATTGAGTTATTCCTTCACTTCCCTTAGTGATCGACCCAAACCAGTGCTTTCTTCAGTGCCTTGCCAGCAATTTTCTCTAAATTGCTTGGAACACATTAACTTGGGGCAGCCTGGCACTCAGCTTAAAGTAGGATGAAATGGTCCAAAAAGCTCAAGATTTGTTCGGGCTTAGAATGAGACATGTAATTGTGTAAACCTAATTACCGGAGGAAGGCAAGTTAAAAACCACAGTTTTAAAAAAGCACAAATTTTTTACAAAATWGCTTTTGGATATCACTGTGCACTGTGTGTCCATTCTCTGAAAATGGAGACTTATGCGAACAGGAGGTTTTGTGAACAAAGAGGTTTTACAGAGAAAGAAACCCACTTCTTATAGTCTGTGAAAATGAGTATGCCTTCTGCATRCAACTGCAGTGAGGCACTGGAAAGAACCGGTTTTGTCTATCCATATCTCCTTTTTATTTAGTAAATAAAATAAAATTCAAAGGTTTATGCAGGAAAAGAAAATTTAGAACAGTTATTTAAATCAAAAGATATCAGTTGTTTTATATCAACTGAGAAAAACAACAAAAAATCCAAAGCAAAAGAAAGCCTCAGTGAAAWTAAATACGGAAAGACTTAAATATCCTTTTGACTATGGAATTTCCATGCAGTAGGACATATTATCCAGGCATCAAAGCATTCTACAGGAATAACCAAAACATGTGATAAGTTATAGGAGAAAGCCATGGTGTGGCAAGTCCAGAGTTTTGTTTCTGAAGAACCCATATAGAACTTAAGCTTTTTGGAGTACTCATAAAAATTTATGTTATTGTGAGAGTTCTACCACTTGTCTGATGGTTCTTTTTTTACTGTTGGTTTTGCTTTGGTCTGTGACACTGAAATGCAGCTTGGAAATTTTGCCACATCTGTTTTGTGGCTCAAGATTGTGAACAATCATACAGCAAAATATGATAAAAAATAATGTATAAAAAGAGGTGTTATAAAGAGCCCTCTAACTTGTTCTGATTTTAACCTCTRAGGCAACCAAGGGAAAGCAGATCAAAATTACTCAAATCTTACCTTGCTTGGSTTCTGTGTCAATACCTATATTGTTATTACTGGCTTTAATAGTTCAAAAATCCATCCTTAGGAAGTGAAAACTAGAGGACTAATTCTTTTTATGATGTCCCTTAAATGTCATTGATTTGATCTTTACAAATAGTGAGGTGGGCAACTAATGCRTGTGTAGACATCTACAAGTTAGGTGGGACAATATGATTCAATAGATGAAGCTCCCCAAATGCACTCAGCTTTTCTTTGGAATTATTCCAAAGGCTGGGAGTTGTTTTGAATGAAGGTTTCAYGTTTCTTCTGCAGAAATGTGTCTACTGCCAGCTTTATGAAAAAGCTTTTGGGCTACTCTGCAGCCTGATCTTTTTTAGGCAGTTTTTGGTGTGTGAAATAGATACTGGAATTTCACTTAAAAGCAAAGAAACATTGAAATTCCATTTTATCAGTTTTTCCAGCTATCYTCACTGCAGACAATCAATAAAATAGTAAATAATTTATGTGAAGCCTAATAAATTTTAAAGGAAGATGGAAAAAAAAATTGCAGAAACAATTGTTTCTGAAAGTCCTTGCTGATCTTGTTCTAAAACCTGTCAGTGACTCAGACTAAGACAGGAAAGGGAAGCTGATAATATTCACTGTTTTGCCAAGAATMACAAGTCAAACAAATTTTAAAAATTATTTTGGAAAACTTTCAGATGTAAAATTGGTCAAATGACAACCAAAATACACTCAGACCWACACTGAAATATAACTTTAAGACTGACACATTTATTAGTTAGCAAAAATCAATTTAGATATTAGATCTGATAATTTATCAGAAACATTTAGGTACTTTTCCCATGCGAATCTCACAAGAGAGGATCCCTACTTGAAACCCCTTGCAGGAATACTTGGACAATGGATGACTCTTAATCACCTGACTTTTTTTTCCAGTAGAACTACTTGTAATTAAGTAAGAACAAGGTCAGCAATTATGAACTGTATGACTGAATTCTCCACATTTCTAATGACAGTGTCTTTAGAGCAACAGTATTAAATAGGTCCAAAGACAAAGCAAAAAAAGACTGACTGCACATTCTAAGCATGTTATGTCACAGTTACACATTTACTCCGTTCTCAGAGGAGCAATCCCTCTTCCAATGGCAGAATCCCTCAGGTCGAAAGTAATTAATAAATTAAGTTTCTGTAGAATAAAAACAACCATTTCAAAATGGGTAGCTAAAAAATAATGACATAATTTATAATTAAACTTAATAAAATCTGGATTCTGTAAGAAGTGGGAAAAAATACATGCAGTTTGGCTAATTTATTTTTCCAGAAACAGAGGGGAGAGGTTTTATGCCAAAAGTTCTATTATCCATATAAGCCTGCTCTGTGTTGTAAGGGAATCAATCATTGTATACTTTTTTTATTTTTTCTGGTAGACGGAGGTCCTTGTTCATAAAGTTTGGGGGGATTGCACCTATTCACAGGCTTACTCTCTTTCCATTTGAAGCCCCTCCCCCTTGTCATGTTATGCCCTTGGTAAAGCATCTCTCTCCATCTCTCTCCATCTCTCTTGGACTTCTAAAATATTTCTGTAAATTTGGGCAGTGATAGATTGAGTGCAGCTGTGACCTGCATGTGAGAAGAAAGGATAGACAGTCCATGCCCAGCTTGGAGTGTTAATGTGGAATGAAAGCAGTGTCCTCAAATGCAGTCACATTGATCTTCTCATAACCAATGGCAATGCACCAGAGCATTGGGATATGGTCCTGTTTTCTAYAGTATTTCCCAGTCTGTGGGGAATTCAGTTCAAATTTTGAATATCTAAGGCATAGATTTTTATTGCATTTATTGTGAGTGGCCCACTTTAAGAACAGAGACAACTGGAAAGAGCTTGAGAGGATGGCAAAAAGGCTGATAAAAGTGTGGTCTATTATATCTCTTWTGATTCAAATGAGTGAGGTAAATCACGGAGATAGGAACATTGGCACTGAGTGGTTTTTGCATGTGAATTTTTGAAATGGCATAAAATTCAGGCATTTTGAGATGCATTTTAAACGGCATAAAATGCAATTAAGTAACCCATTTTAAGAAAAATTGGTGACAAATGTGTCCTTATCCATTTAAAAAACCTGCCTTTTAAATGGAGAAAATGCATTAACCTTATGGTTTTAATATAGGTAATAGAACCAGGAAGCAAAGAACAAAGAATTAAAAAATGACTATTTAAAAGTCCCAGTAGGAATATTAMTTGAGAAGCAGGATCACCGACAAAAGATGTGCAGTTTTTGTCAACTGCCCTTCAAATCATAGTCACAGAGCTCATTTTGGTTTTAAAAAGCTTTTGCTTTTAGTCTATAAATCGATTATGTCTTAAATGGTGGTGCTTATGGAAGGTGCTGTATCTGAATATTTAGAATGCCGTTTTTTTCTGCAATTAATTGTGGGACTGAGTTCGGTTAACTGCTTGTGATAGAGAGATCTGAAGTCAAAAATACTCCTTGTTCATTATGGATTGGTTCATCTTTTTGGAGATAGGCTATTTSCTTCCTTCCATTTGCTATATGAAGTTATCTGCATCTGGGGTTTGCTGGGACACGATGGCAACTTTGCTACCTTGAAGATGATTTGAGTATTAAATGTTCTGATCTGAAGGAGATTTGGCCTCGTGGCTCTAAGAGGACTTAGATCCATTCCAAGTGCAGGAATCACTTGGTGGAATTTCTTTGCTCAGGTTGTCCCCTAAGCCCATGTTTTGCTGTGCTGTTTTGATTTTGATGTAAATATTAAAAGGCTTTGGTGCTCAATGAAAGGAAGAGAGAGTTTAATGGCTACACTGTTAAACTTCAGATGCCTTTACTTCCCCATGAAAACCATACATTAAGATTATGTACTGCTCAGATGGTTTCATTGCAAGCGCATTTAGACTTTTTTTGCAAAAGAAACKGTCTAAATCTTTCTTCATACATGCATTAAATTTATACTGTTTCATAGAACAACAATACAAAGGATGCTATTGACAGTTCTGCTTTCAAATTCAACAAAGTTAAAATGAAACCCTGGGTAGAAATTCAGTGTTGTTTGCAGAAAAATGTTGCTAAGCCCACGCTGCTAGGCATAGGTTTTAGTTTATGATCCTTGCCATTTCTCAAGAAKTGTTAGGGCTATAACTGCACCTGATTAAAAAGAAAAACTGTGCATCAATACACCATAAAGCAGTGCCCTGGGAGGCCCCAAGCAGCTATGAACCTTGCAAACAGTGGTAGGAGAGGTTTGCATTTCAGRGAATATGACACAAAATCTCACATTTGCTTAATCAAGTAAAAACTTGTAATACCAAGAAACTAGTAGATAAATTTAAACTACTGTTCCATGTGTTTTTAACTTGTTCTAAGGTCAAATTAAATTAAGTGAAAACATGGTGCTGATGCTGATGTTTGAAGATATGAACCCATAATAACATTGCCCTTCACTTGTGGTGCAAAAGTAATTTYCCTAATACGATAAAATGTGAAGTATTCTCCTTTGCTTGTTTCTGTTACATCTGATTTTCCTGTTTAGCTGCCTATAGAGCTTGGTAAATTTAGCACTAGTCTCATTATGTGCAATCATGTAATTTGGTTCATCATGTGGAAGCTGCTATTCGAAGCTGACTGCTCGATGTGCCTGATCTCAGTTKCACTTTCAAACCCACACATTCTGAAAGTGTGGCCTAGGAATCACCTGTGGACTGAGACATCCTGGGTTATCTGCAGATCAGACTGTTAAGGGCCTCAGGGTTGCAGCTCTTATAGCATCCACTGCACAGCTTGATTCAGTGCATAAAAATATGACAAGCATCATATAGCACCAAATTTGGGGCTGTTTCTGGATGATGTGTTGAGTCATAAAAAGCAAATTGTGAACCACTGCCAAAACCACACCAAGAGAATACTTACCCTGTTTAAAAAAGACAGTGGCATGCAATGGACAATATGAACACTCTGAAGTTTGATTTCTCTTGTCAAAGRTAAAACAAATTTCCTTTGTATATCAATATAAAACCATATCTACTTCTACATTAGCATTTAGATCAAAATAGGAGTGCATGTTGTGTTTTGTTGTTGGTTGGGGGTTTTTGTTGTTTGTTTAGGTTTTTTCTAGACAAGATTTCCGATTGTTCCTACTTACTCTATGTTGGTTCAGATGCAGAGCAATCTTAGCTAGCACAGATGGGATTCCTTTCAGATTAAACAGAAGATGCACTCTGGGACCACTTCATGAATTCTAGCTATTAATTGCTTTTGAGACTATGGAACTGGACTAGAGCTCTTCAGAAGTAGCCCCACCTAAAACATATGTAGTGCAAATATCAGGTCCATTGTACCAGCTGCTTCATTCCTATTTGTGTCATTTGCTACAGAACCWTTTAAAAGGATCATCAAAGTAGTGAAGGAACAAATAATTTTTGCAGTGAAAACAATTTTGTGTGTTTTCCACTTGACATAAGGATTTTTGAATTGTGTAAAAGGTTCATTCAATGGATTCGTATTATCTCATAGGAACACGCAATAAGGTCCTCTTCCTGAATTATTAAGAGAAGTCACTTGAACTGCTTAAAGTCTTCTTTTTTCATTCCTACCAAACCATTAAGCAAATTAATTTTTATCATKTCCTGTTTAACATGTCATAGGTTCTCAATGTCATAATTCATTGCTGATTTGACTTCTGCATTTTCTATTTTGAATGTGACAGGAAGCTCCAATGTAYTGGAATTGGGGACAGTTTCATTAAACAGGTCTTTTTCAATGTTGGCTTTATCTCATGAATGACAATATCCTGTTGATGAGAAGTGTGATATTTTATTATTGGTGCTACAGCAAACCAAAAATGTTTTGAACTGCCAAGGAAAAAAAAATCTATCAGGTGCATTCTTACAGGAATCACCAGTACTGGAGGATKAATCTCCAAAGAGAGTGTGTGCTCACATAAATTAAGGAACACGTTTAAAATTGCTTCTGCTTCTATAAACTTGTATGTATTTGCACTGAATATTCTCACTRCAAGCTAAAGCTTCTTGATCTTCTGGATGAGATGTTTTTGTGATGAATTCTGCATCATAACTTGGGTTAGATACAATCCTTTGGTTTTGACTTCTGCACCARAACTTTGTTAGCAGGTTTGGGGTGCAGGGTCTTGCTGCTGTGGAGAAACTAGGAATTTGAATTTAGTTATTATGGAGATAGAAAGGATCTCTCATATTCTCCAAGGTCTAATTTAGAAAGAAAAGGGAAAYACACATAGCAATGTAAAAGCAATCTCTGGGGTAATTCTTAAAATGTGGTTCTAAATGGTAGACTGATTTTGTACAAAAATAATTTGTTATTGAATACCACTTAATTTAGGAAAAATAACAGGATCTTATATATGAATTGAAAGATATACTTTAAGCTTATTTGTATTTTTTACCATTTGTTTTATGAAATGTTATCAAGCCTAATTCATTAAAATCAATATTGATCTAATTTTACAGTGGCCTTAAACTTCCAAACACCGGGAACACAAATGGAATTGCAAGATGGAAAATTCCTGGACAACGGTGGTTGTGGCTATGTGCTGAAACCCGAATTCTTGAGGGATCGCAATACAACCTTTACACCCCACAATGTGGGAGGATACAGCAAACCGATGTCTCTGTCAATAAGGGTAAGATTACTGAAGTGTTGCTTTATTCCATAGAAATGGGAAAACAAATGCTATGTAGTTCAGATGTAATTGTTATGTATTGTTTGTTTTTCAATTTACTCCCATTCTTGGTTGTTGGGAACTTAATAATGTTTTCAACAAGATGGTGAAACCCTCATATAGTAYCAACTGCTGCATGGGTGCTTTCCTATCTGTAGTTCACTTATGTTTGCTAAAAATATGTAGGAGTTCGGAGCCTCTAAGAGTCTGTAAAAATACATGCATTTTCATCATGCTGTTTAGAGAAATAGAAATAATGTAGCTGACTAAGGGACCGGTCAATTGTTCTTGTGAAAACTGAACTCTGAGAACACAGAAATCAAATGTGCACTTTGGGTGTGTTTTACTTCTTTCAGTATCAATAGTATCACGTGTACTATTATAATGTTAATTGACAAATGGAAATTTTTAAAGATAAGATAGGAAGCTTTATGGTTATTTTAAGTCTCATTATCTTCCTGTGCATATAAAAAAGACTATTTATAATCCTACAATGATATAAATAAGTGTGAAAGGAGGGAAGAATTAATAAGGCTTTGAATTATTTCTACTTCTCCCAAATTATAATGTGATTTACTTCCCAAAAATACTAGAAATACATGTAATTTGCAAATAAATGGTTAGAAAAGCCCTTTTATGAGGTCAAATAGATTTATTACAAATGTTCACTAATTAGAAAACTTCCTTTTCCCARTGAAAAATATTTCTGATTACACAGAATACTGCTTGCATAAATGCTATTTAATTAGCATATAATTAGTGTATAATTGCTATTTTGTTTCTTCCAGAGTAATAAATAGAGGAGATAAAACAATAGTTAGTGACAATTATAAAATACTTACATAATGCACGCACCTAATCAAGAACATTTTAGTGTCCTGACAGTGAGCATACCAATTGTAAATAGATATTGCTGGATGATTTCAAGCAGCCAGGCAAATACATCATTTATTTCAGCCCTAATTTGTATGAAGCTGGAATTAAGACGAAGAGAAACATCGAATTGTAATGACAGAAAAAATCATTGTCAATGCAAAGGAAGTTACTGAGCTTGGAAGAAGCTGGAGAAGAGGAAAGCAGTGTTTTAGACTGAGGACTTTAGACTGAGACTGCAGGCTGGGTTGTGCAGGCTGCAGAGAAATGATGGCATCCCACTGGCTGATGGACTGAAGGGCACAGAGAGCCCCATTCATAGTCAGCAGCAAAAACCAGGAAATGGTGGTTGAAGACAAAAGGAATCAGGAGCAGGAGTTAAAGGAAAAGCAGATTCTGCTGAAAAATGTTACTAACCAGATGAATGGAGAAATTGCTCAACAGAAAGCAAAGATAAAAAACATCTAGGGGTCAAATCTCTCAGAATGAATGAATGAATATGAATGAATGAAGAAAAATCACATAGGGCCTGATTTTACTGAATTAGTTATTTACCTGATGTGCCACAATTCCCATCAACAAGGAATATAGAGCCTTTGAAGCAGAAATAGAGAAATACAAGGTGTTTCAYAAACAGTCTTCTCAGCCTAAAAATTTTTACAACTCTCAGTATGTCTGCTTCACCTTGGGTCTCGAAATTTGATTGGATTTACGGATTTGGGTTATAGTGTGCCTAGAAGAGCTCATTCTTTTCCCACACCAGCAGAGACTTAGATTGGGTCTAGTGATTGGATAAGTGACACAGGCCTTGGCCAGTGGGGCTGCATTATAATCATGGCATTCAGGACACGGCAAGGACTCTCCCAGGTTCTTATTGGGCAGCCCATCAATGATTGCAAAGCTTTSTGGTGAAGGTTTCCTTGGAAGAAAGGGGACAGCATCAGTGTTAGCTAAGACATTGCTCTTCAGTATTTTAGGCTAGAACTTCTCTTGGAGAAAGGTGTTACAGAAAATATCTAAACAAAAAGTGGAATTTGTGGTGTTTGATTTTTTTGGTGGTTGACAGGGGAGTTAGAATTTCTGACAATGTTTAGTCCTGAGACCAGGATCAGGAGTCATATCTTTCACCTAGGCTTTCAGTCTTGTTTATCTCTCTTGATACATTCCATAGACTGATTTCTAAAAAGCTGATTACTGTAGAGATGTTTATTCTCTCCTAGGTGTCTTGAAATACAGGTAGAAAGCAGACAAAATTGTGACTTTTATAAATCCTTTCTAAGGCTGGGTGCCAGATTACAGGGCAGTCTGAGACAAAATTTCCACGTAGCTAACTAAATTCAGGAGAAAAACATTAGGAAGTTTACTAAATGAAGAGTTTTATGTGTTACAGTGCAAGAAAAGGCAGRTGAGGCAGTCTGCTACATACCCTGTAGCATAATGTTGATAGCACTGTGGGTCTTAATTCTGATCCACTCCATTCAGAATGGAATTCATGAGCTGGATAGCAGAAAATGCAAAAATCACTGGAGACTGCTTCCTCCAACACTGTATTTTTGCATAATAATTGCATAAAACTTTTATGTGTAATGATTGAATAAAAATTTAAGCCTAAAGATCATTGCTTAAAGTGTGATATCGTATGTATGAATATATATATATACACACTCATACAGTGGGGTTTTTTTTACAAAGAGGGTGGTGAAACCCTGGCACAGGTTGTCCAGAGCACTTTTAGGTGTCCCATCCCTGTAGACATTCAAGATCAGGTTGGACTGAGCTTGGAGCAACCTGATCTAGTTGAAAATGTMCCTGCCCATCACATGGGGGTTGGAACTAGATGTCTTTTAAAGGTTCCTTTGAACACAAACTACATTTCTATAAAATTATAAAAAAGTAATTAGATGGGAAGCACCATATTCTTGATTCCAWTGTGTTTCATATGTATTTTTAGAACAGTTTAGGGCTGGTATATATTTATAGTAGTTTCTTATGACACATTTATGTTATAGCTGTTATAAGGCTATGATGTATAGCTCGTTCTCACAGTTATTTCAATACATTACAACTTAAATTTTCCAGCTGATCAGTGGCCATCAGTTACCACCCAGCAGCCTGTCGAGGACCAACAAAGCTGACCCTATGGTGCAGATAGAAATATATGGTGTGCCAGAGGATCAAGCAAGAAAGAAATCTAGTGTTGTAAAAAGCAATGGTGAGCACCACTCTGATTGTCTTGACTGTGAAAAAAGGACATTTTTTTTTTTATAAGGAATCCCCAGCTTTGCATCCCAAGAAGTTGTTAGGGAAATGCAGTTATTTCTCTCTGGACTAGGATCTTCTGGCACAAAATCTGTAGCAGAAGTTCGTGCTGTGTGCCGTATTTGTAGATAAGGGAAGCACAAACTCCTAGTTGGGAGCACRGTCCCTTTCCAAAGGAAGATGGAATTTTTTTTGTACATTGCTGTGGGCCCATCCTGGACAGCAGCTCAGCCCCACAGAGCTGCTCGCCTGCACTCCCCAAGCTGAATGGGGAGAAGGCTGGAAGGGCCAAAATGAGAAAAGTCTTGGGTTGGGTTGAACAGGTAAAGCAAAAGCTYCACACACAAGAATAACAAAGAATACATTCACCACTTCCCATGGACAGGCAGGTGCAGAGACATTCCCAGGAAAATAAGGTTTTCTTATTGAGCATTTTGGTTACTCAGGAAGACAGATGCTGTAACTCTGAATGTCCTCCCTTTCTCCTTTCCCCCAGCTGTGAGCGTGACACCATATGGRTATGGAACACCACTTTAGTCAGTTTGGGTTGGCTGTCCCACTTTATCTCTTTCTAACTTCCTGTGCACCCCAGCCCCCTCACTGGGATGGGGAGGGTATTTTGCAGCACGAGAAAAACAGAGATCTTGACACTGCACCATCACTGCTCAGCAATAGCTGAAACAACGGTGCATTACCAGCACTGTCTGGTTCAAAAATCCAAAATGCAGCACCACAGGGGTTAATGTGAAGSAAATGAATTCTATCCCAGCCTAAACCAGTACACTAATTGGTAAATTTAGACTTTTTTTTCTTAATAAATTGCTGCAACTTCATCACTTGTCTCATTTGATGTTTCYAGGAGTAGTCCCTTAATTGCTTGACAGGTGAACTGTGTACGCTTTGTAGCCGTCTTTGAACACTCCCTTGTCTTTATTATATAGATCTTCTTGGTGTCTCAGACTACAAGTTCTCTGTGATCTTCCCTTGTCTGTACCTCTATCTTCTATTCTTCCTTTTCCGTTTTTACAGGTGGCTGCTGTTTTAAATCAGCCCCTGAATTTCTTTTCTCTGTATGAGCATTGCTCAAGACAAAGCAACCCTCTCCTGTTCCACACCCTCTTTTTGTATTTCTAGTCAAGAGAACATTTTACTACCTGAATTTACCTATTTCCAACATTAAAGGGGAAACTTTGGCAAAAGCATGTAACTGGCATGGCTATAGGAAAATTTAAGTTGAGCAGAGGTTTTTACCCCAGCTATCCCTGTCCCATTTTGCTCTCTTTTAAGGGATGACAGCAACTGTCTTAGGCTTTTATAGCACTATCGTCAGTGGAGTCTCATCATTTACTTAAATGGGCCCAGAAATCTAAGGAAAAAGAATGAATCTTTACCAGTTCAGACTAGTGATAGCAGGTGCAAGAATTCAGTTACTGAGCAGAAAAAAAAAWWATTTTTTWAATTCTGTTTCTTTTCTCTTTTCATTAGCTTTGTGCCCTAAGTGGAATGAAACTTTCTCTTTTCACATCCAAGTTCCAGAACTGGCAATGATACGCTTCTGTGTGGAGGATGAGGTCTCTCTGGTTAACAATGAATTCCTGGGCCAGTACACCTTACCTGTGATGAGCTTGAATACAGGTAATACCTAATGTGAACCTATAAGAGCTCAAGAAAGTCTGCACCATTCCTGGCTTTTATTATTACTGTAGCATTCAGAGAGTACAGCATCATGCCTTTTTTCTAAAGGATGACTGTGCAACTCTACATATAAATGGCACTCTTTTTTTTTTTTTTTTTTTTTAAGTAATTGTATTCTCTGAATGCAAATCCATGATGTTGAAATCATTTTTTTTTTTTTTTTTTAAGTAATTGTATTCTCTGAATGCAAATCCATGATGTTGAAATCAAAATATTATTAATGACAGTCAATTATTCCCCCTGCAGTATTCCATTCTGGATGGAAACTGCTTAGATGGTATTTTAATTCATTACAGGAAGAGAGACAAGTCAGAACTGCCATGAAGGCAACAGTTTTGTGCACTTTCTACTCAGTTAGGCTTAAAACCCAATATAAGCCAAATTAAAACAAAACAAACCACCAAAAAAACGTTCAGGTAACCTATCTCCAGCTTTTCAGAGTGGAAAACAAAGGATATAAATTAGGCTAAATATTTATGGCATTTCTCTTGCTAGAGTTTCTTTTGTTATGCCAGTAGAGTTCCTGGAACCTTTCATAATGAATAGGCTGCACATAAAAAGCAGACACAGAAGTCAACAGGCCAAGGAGAAAGGCTTATGTAAAATGGCTGTTTACYACATTGGCTTTCCAAAGCTATTTCTGACAAAACAAACAGCTTTTATTAGTGAATAAAGATGGGAAGGGAAAACATTGGAGCTGGCAACAGGCACTGCGCCTTTTTTATTAAGCTTAACAGGATTTTAAATGGCTTTTWTTCCCCCATGTTTGAAAGTCATAAAGTTCCTTGTGATTCTTAGTTGAGGTTGACGAATTATACAAGAACAAAGACATTACTCTTAGAGCTCAGTTGTTTTTCTGCAACATAAATTTTTACACTGATAACCTTTTACTTTCCTTTTACTTGTATACTTCTGGATAATGAAAGAAAAYACAATCTTCCAACTCACAATGTCTGAGACAAATTTAAATATCAGGCACTGATGGTTACATATGCTTGTAAAATTATCAACTGGAGTTTTTTTAATACACAATTTTTCAGTGTGGCTTAATGTCTCTATAGGATTCATTTTGGTCACAAATGAGGAATTCATATTATGGAGAAGTAAGAGCAGTACATTTTCCAGGAAATATTTTTAGTGGAGTAATTCAAAATGCTAGGGAATGAGTCTAAGTACAAAAMCGGTAAATGGTGCCAAACAAATTGCCCTCATCCCCACTTAACATCAAAAACGTCATTTGCCATCAGGATGCCCAGAGGCAKAAATAAAGCCTTCTAAGAGGTGAGGGGGTAAATAATTTCAAAATCTATTGCAATGCTTAGCACTGAGCAGGTTGGAATGATGGTTTTGCTTTAGGTACCCAAGCTCTGTAAACAGTGAAATGGGAAAATAATATTCTTGCAGAGGGAGTCACAACAAGAAGACAAGGGAAGAACTGCCTAAAATGCTGAAGGGTGAGCTAGGATTTCAGTCTTAGTCTTCAGAGCTCCAATTGCTTTAATCTGTACTACAGGACTGTCCCTCAGTCCCTAGGATTCACATCCCTGAGGTATCCCCAAGGGCAAGTTGCTTCCAAAAGCTGAGCAGTGCTCACATCTCTTTTTTCTCTTTGACAGGCAGTGGGACAAAGTTGTACCATTTCYACCCTCCTCTGCATTTTCTTTTGAAAGGATTCAAATCTAACTCCTCACTGCCTTCCTTTTTCCAGCAGCAGCCTCCCAACTACTTGTAGACTCCACTGGGGAGGAATGCTTGCTGCCCAGCTATAGCAGAATTTGATTTTCCATGAAATGATTATGTAGCTATACTCAGAGGGGCTGAAATTGAGAAAAATTCTCTACCTGAGTGGTTATAGGCAAAGAGGAGCGGGGGTCCTGTGTTGTGGTCCCTGTGCCAATAAATCTGCCATGTAGAATACTAATACAGGACAGGAATTCATTTATTAGCTCTGTTATCATGGGATCCATGAATAGTTAATTATTTAATGTAAATTGGAGCCATTTCAATTAAAAAAAAAAAAAGTTTTACTTCTCTCAGGACACTTCATAGAATATTTGGTAGGTAGGGGCTAGAAGACATAGCGTCAGAAATTAATCTTAGGCCTTGAAGTGTATCTTTGGATAGGAAATCCATYAGGCCTTCCACATATTGTGTGCATGCCTTAAAAAATTATCTCAAATTTAAATTACCTGAAACCAGCTGACCAGAATCTGAACCTTAGATACCRGGGGAACTATTGTATTATATGACAGGATAAGACAAAATGGCCTCAAGCTTCTCCAGAGAAGGTTCAGTTGGACATCAGGTAGAATTTTATCACTGGAAGGGTTATCCAGCACTGGAAAGGGCTGCTCAGAGAGGAGGTGCAATCACCATCCTTGAAGGTGTTCAAGAAACAACTGGAYGTAGCRCTTGGTGCCAYGGTCTGGTTCTTGAGGTGGTGATCAGCCAAAGGCTGGGCTCAATCATCTTAGAGGTCTTTTCCAATCTAAATGATTCTGTGATTCYGTACAAAACAACCAAGAAATTCTAAACCCAGGTAAACGAGGGTCACAAAGACTGCACATGCATCTACACACGCTTAAGTAAGCATGTTTGAAAGTAAGTGGTTTTGAAAACTGCAGTTCAGAACATAGACACCTACATAAATAACAGAGACTTACTTAAATAACTGGAGTTACAAGAACATAGATAAAATACAGAACATTTTTTAATCGGAAGTGACGTTGTTCATTATTATGAAATAATGGACATTTAATCATATAAAGCAATCCAGGTTGGGTTTTTGAAGAGGAGGTTGTTTTGTTTTCCAAGCAGGTAAGTGAATTATGTTTGAAGCTGGAAACTACAGCTTCTCCAAATGCTTCAACAACCAGATGAACACATAGTTTGTGATGCACACCTTATCTCTGATAAAAAAATGAAATTCCTAATATGAAATCAACTTTTTAAGATGTCATGGTAAAAGGTCTTACACTACACTTTTTTCTACCTCAGCTGGACATTGCACTGCTGCTGCAACAGTGTTCTGAAAGGCACTATCATTGCTGATTCACAAGTTATTTGTTATCAGAATGTGCAGCACATAATAACCTTGGATATTACAATATGAGCTTTGCTCATGTTTAAATATMACTTCCATTTGAAAAAATACTACATCCTGAAAAATACTGAAGCTTTTCACCCTGTAACCTAAAATWCCAGAATTCAAATGCCATATATATGTAGAAGAGAAAAACTAGCACAAATGGTGTTCCTGTGTAATTTATTATTTTTAAGAGTTATTTAGAGAATTATAGATTGCGCCTTGTTTGCATAGATGATCATAAAAATACTCCATCATRATATTTGTGTTTGTGGTTATCACACTAATAACRTGTCATTGTGTTTACAGGTTACCGYCACATTCCACTGTTGTCCAAAGAAGGCATCAAGCTGGAATGTGCATCACTTTTTGCACATATCTGGTACTATTAATGATGTCCTGCAGAAGAAATTGTTCTGGGGGATTGTCCCCCACTACAATAAAGCAGCCTCACTGTTTTTGCAACAGCCCAATGGCCTGATTCCCAGAGTGGCACATTCTCAATGATTTTATGAAGCCAGAGGAACTTTGGTGTTAGGGGTATTCTGAATAAGGGCTACTGACCTCAGCCCTACTGCTATTTTTCTACAGGAGAAGACTGGGTTTGAGAACGCCTAAGGAAGCTGAAAGTACACAGGTCTATGGGACCTGATGAGATATATCCACAGGTCCTGAGGGAACTGGCCTAAGCCACTATCCATCACATTTGAGAAATCGTGGAAGGCCGGTGAAGTTGCTACTAATTGAAAAATACCTATGAAAAATACCATACTTCATACGTATTATGAAGAAATTCTGTACTGTGAGGGTGGTGAGACCTTGGATTTCCAGAGAAGTTGTGGACTCCCCATCCCTGGAAGTGTTCAAGGTCACTTGGATGGGGCTCTGAGCAAACTCCAAAGTATCCCTGTCCATGGCAGGAGGTTGGAATGAGATGATCTTTAAGGTCACTTCCAACCCAAGCCATTATGTGATTCTRTTATTCTATGATCATTTAGAAACAATTCAAAAATATAGAACTTTTTTGGTTGTTTTTAAAATTCAGTTAATGCCACTTGCAGCTAATTTCAAATTTATGATTCATTACTGAGTGAGAACAATAGTCCAATATGTATGAGAGCTCATGCTAATTTTTATGCTATGAACATGTTACATTTGTATTGAACAAAATTTTTTACCATTGTATCTTTTCAATGGAACAGGAAAAGGTATACATACARTGTTCTTTCTAAATTTGTAATAAAAGAAGGTTCTGATTGGGCTATTATTCTTTAGTGCCCAGTATAATTTTGTTACCTGAAAAAAATAGTTTTGAGAAACAAAAACAGCTCTTAAAATCATAAAAAAAATCATACACTAGTAGCTCAGTCTTGAACCTCCTCCTGCTAAAGGAAGACAAAAAATTAATGGACTGATTTGTAAAGAACCATGCTCCTCTAGGAGCAGGCAGCTCAGGATATATCTTGTGGAAACTAGGATAACTAGGAACTAGGAAACTTTGAGGAGAACTAGAAGAATTTTAGAAAAAGCAAGGGCTGATTGTGTATTTAAAGATCTGTGAGGACAACTTCTTGCCTGACAGAGCTGTTAGTGTAGATCTTGCCCAAAAGACACAGTTTTCCCATCTTCCTTCAGAAATGAAGTATTGTTGACCTTCCATAGGACTACAGTTATACAACTAATGGAAGTTTTTTTACTCAAATATGATTTTCTTTTCAAAAAAAGAATGTTATATTGACAAGTTTATTTCTTTAATATCAAACAATTTCTTAAGTTTGCAGACCATTCTGATAATATTATATTGTAATGCTCTTTTCATTTATTGCTGTTTACTTAATGTTGCTCTAAGATGGAAAACCAGGACATGTGGTAAACAAGGGTTAGAAAATGTCACAGGAAATAACACTATTAGAAAATTGCATTATAGTTATAATAAGGAAACTGAGACAGTAGACAAGAAGAMTCTAAAATCAATATTGAACTGTAAGGCCAGGTCATTTGGTAACAYTGTAAGCTGATCTCAATGTGTTTTCTGTGCTTGAATGACAGGGCACTTGATTCCTTTCCCAGGAGATCCTATAGTGTAAAATGTTGCATGTGCTGATCTTTTTAGTTATCATATTCTGTGTGCCAGCCAATATTCCTTGCATGTGGTACACATTTTACAGCTTCTTATAGCTCTGAATAGAYTAATAAAATTAATACTCAGAGTTGCCTTCACCTCCCCTTATTGAGGAGGAGCTTAATATACCAGATTGACTGGGGGAAATACTCTCTGATAAAACCTGACCAAATGACAGGAGTCCACTGTTTTGATGCTSAGAAAAGCATTCAGTTTATTTAATTTCCTAAATAATGGTCCTAGTCCCGCTTCAGGACCTTTATACAATTTTACATTCTGAAGACTGATTTGTGAGCATCCTTTGGGAGAAGAACAAAATTATCTTCACTTCTGGGATTATTCCTCTGTTGACCACTTTTCCATCTGGTAGAACAACGTCACATTTGTCCAGTATATGGTAACTTAAAATTTACAGCAGATCACATCACAAATTAACACATCTGTGCAGTAAAAAATGCGCCCCTGGTCCTGTAAAGGTCAGTCTGTGCAAGAGTCTGGCAATAATGGACAGTTCATTGTGGCTGCTCACATGCCAAATGTTTAAAGATGTGCTTAACTGCCTCCTCAAATTAGAGAAAACAGAGCCCACAATTAGCATCTGTGGTCTTAAAGGAACTGCTCATGTTCATTATTTRATATATAAACATATCTATTACAGCCCTGAGATCTCTGCAATGCATGTATTGACTGGAACCCCTTATGCAGCATAGGAGGGCAATGAACAAATATCTGCAGTGTCATGATCTTAAATAAATCCTCCACTGAAAACTCACACTCAATATGTTCTGTTTATTCATTAACATTAGCTTCTCCCTCCTCCTTTCTTCACACAAATGACTAGTTRTATTTGCCTCTTGGATGTCAGAATAAAAGAAACAATGACATATCTTACTAGCAAATCAATATCCTGGATTAAATGTTACCTTGCATCAAAACTTTTAAAGTTCTTAAATAAAAATATTGATTGGATAAGACTTAGTGTGGAATTTGCTAGACATCTGAAATATATTGGCAGCAAACTATCCCACAGTTTTCTGGTGAGCTCATCACATGCTGTGATGATAATTACACCATTATCAGCATTGTTTCAACACATTCAGTGGAATTAATAGGCAAAGAATGAGGCCCCACACATTGATGTGTATAGAATTCAGTATTTTATAGTACTATTTATTATTAACAAAACCAAGCCCTTTATTGCTGCCACAAGAACTTTCTGCATGTTGCTACAAGTCCTTAGCATGTGATTCCTTAAACTCACAGTGTTAAGAATCTGGGGCAGGAAGACTATAGCACTTTCAAGACAATAACCTTATGGTTGGAAATGTTAAGATACGTGCTCAGCAGATGACTGCCTATTCTCAAGGGCAACCGAGACAAATTGTACCGTGGGAAATGGGATAAAGAAACATTAGTGGGCAAATAATTGAATCATCTTGGAGAAYGTTTAAATTACACTGTTTCCCAGTGGGTACCACTTTTCTTCATTTAACTGGACACTGCTCAGTTGAATGTTAACAGCTCCCATGAATGTTCCTTTGCTTTTCACAACAAGCTTCAGTACACGGCCTTGGAGTTCTGTGACTTTGTCATATACAATCTGAAACAATATATAGTGAAACAGAAAAAAACATACAAATTTGTTAATCTATTTGACAGGTGAAGCACTTCAATGCAGCATTCAGTATGATGATTAATCCAACTTTGTAATAATTGCTTTAGACTTCCATCCAGAATAGTAGCTATTAACCATGAGCCAAATTCACTTAACTTAGTTAATTTACCTCAGAAATGCATTTGACCTTATCTAGTTTATATAAAGAAATCTTTGTATACAAARAGATAGAATCACAAGCTTAGGCTCATGAAATCTGATTACCATTTGTAAATAAATTTGAAACCTGTGTTGCACAATGCTTGAGGGAAAAAAAATAACAGTATTCATAATTTTCCCTGTGAAAAGTGGAACAGATTAAATTCAGTTTAGCAAGTGAAACTTAGTAAATATAGGTATTTCTGATACTCAAGAAGTGTTGTTGATACTTCTCAAAATAAGTGAGACAGCAGTTTAGCATCTCTTAAAAAAATTACTAAGGTCTATAGTTTTTAAAATTACGTTTATAGCCTTTAAGTTACCTTAATACTGTGAGAACACACAGAGATTAAGTATGAAATTATAATGGTGCATTTTTTWAAATTTAAAATGGCCTAACAAGAATAAGCTGCACTCAGAACATATTCCCATGCTTCAGTCCCTGCARTAATCAAAAACTGCTGAGTGAACTGCATGTGGGCTGATAAAATGTGAAGGAATGCTCTCAGATATTGCAGGCCTGAAAGGTAAGCTCTGTTAAGAGAACCACATTTAATCTAAAATTTGTATGGCTGGAAATGTTTTTGCTATTTTAGATACAGTTGAAAAACGCTTTAAATTTTAATCTCTGCTGTTTAAAAAGCAAATGCGGTGACATTCTGTCACTTCAGGAGAATGGGAAAGGGAAACTCAGATTTTCTGTGGAATCTGAGTGCAGGCTGTACCTATGGCACTGCTGAGGAAAAGGAAAGGCAGACTGAGCCACTCTAGCTTGGATCCCTGTGGGCTGGACTGGTACTTCCACTTGMATGTGCAGGAATTTCTCAGGGAGCATGGAACAGACAGGACACCAGGTGACCCTCAGAGTGAGCACCAATAGACAGGACACCGAGAAAGGGGTTAACATTTCCTCTTCCATTTAGAAACCTTTGGAAATAACAGTCTGGAATAGCTGTCATGAAAGTGGCACCTGGTGCTTTTTGGCTCTGATGTTTACTGTGCCTGTTTTGCCAAATTGTATGTGAATGACAAATTCCACAGCTTTTCTTTCCCCCCACGAAAACCAAAGTTAAATTATGAAGAAAATCCGAAAAAAAGGACAGGTACAATAAGCATAATATACTTTGGAATAAATCTGTGATCTGACATGGAAGCAATGTTAATGTTACTAAAGAAAGCTGCCTTGTTTCTTTGCCAATATTAAAGGCACCAGCTGTTGTTTTAAATTACCAAAACCTATACATATAAGCTGTAAAYGCTAAGAAACTGAACTGGGGTAATGAGAAACTTTCAATCTTTGGCCAAAAAGAGGCTTTAATCTTTGAGCAATGACAGACCTTTGCAGTCCAGGGTAGGTGGTTTTTAATTGATCCCAGAAACTGTTTCTAAAATGGCATTGTAAATTCAGCTGGAGTAAGAGATACATTAAAATCAGGATGTATGGACAGAAAAAAGGTCTGGAGAAGGTTGAATTAGGATGTGGATAGAACAAATGCCACCTGCCAGAGTTTGGGAACAGTTAAATCCTGAAATGATCCTACAGAGAGGACATTGGCCCRCCTTTTGCACAGAGAGATCAGATGGAGGTGAGTTATACAGACCATGCAGCAAATCAGTGAGACAGTTAGGGCTGGAATTCAACTATTCCTGGCTCCAAAAAGAGAAACACTGTTGACCTACAGGAGCCTAATGACATTTTAATCACAAATGAGGGACAGTTGCTTCTCCTTAGGTAGCCATGGCACASTTCCTAGATTTGGTAATTAATCCAAGGTAGCTTTGATGCATGGTGCTGGAGAAAATGACTGCGGCTCCTGGTGTAGTTCCCCTCCTCCCCCTCCATCAGACTGGGTGGGGCTGCTCTGCCTTCCTTTTCTCTTTACACTTTATCTATTTTTCTTCTCCTTCTCCTTTTCTCTACCACCATTTTTTAGTGCAATACAACATTAACTATGGTGAATGCCACAAATTCTAAAATYCAAATACAAGAACTGGAGAAAAAAAAGAGGAGTTGCTTTTTAAAAGCAGCTCCAAAACATTTGCTGTAACTCATTTTATTGTCAGCCCTCCTGGACTTTCACATCTTCACTCTCAACACATGAGTAAAAATCAAACATAAAAAGCACTTTYGCAAGGTTGATAATTTGCTGTAGGCAGTCATAAGCAATAGAAGTACAAAACTAAAATCAAAAATACCCAAGAGAAGCACATTTCAGATTTTTCTCAGCCTGGAACAAAGAAAGAAATTAATATACAGCTTCCTTCCAGCCATTTGGCTTTAATAAAAACTTATGAACTCATAAAAAAGGCTAGTACATTTCTGTACACAGTGTTTTGGACAGTAACTAACTTAAGAGACAGCTGACTTATATTTTTAGTAGTTTTTCTTCCCTGGGGCGGCTTCTGCCTCAGTCTACCAGCCTTGGACAGAAAATGCATCCAGAATGACATCACATATGGAGGAGCAGAGCTGCTAAAGCACAGGCATTGGGTTGGAAATGGCCAAGTTCAATGGAACCATATGTCCCCACTGTGATTAGCACTTTCCAGTGACAAAGATTGAGCATCTGGGAAGAAGGCTGTAAGTTTTGATTAAGGACATTAAAGTTTTCATGGAATTTCTTTTAGTGGCAGTGGAATACTCATTAGCTAGAATTAAATCTCCTCTCAGTGACTACTGACTGACTGCTTTTGGATTTCCTAGCATTCAAATTGATCTAAGAATGATTTGACAGATAATTGCCTTCCAGTGCTGCTGGCTGGTTCTTCTCTGTTGTCCATTTTGGACCTTACAATAATGTTACGATATAATCATATTATGTTTCTTTGCTTTAAGTATTTTTCAAATGCAAAGGCATTTCTTTAGACAGATTAATTATACTTATTCCACTTTGATTGCAAAAAAAAAGAAGGAAAGAACATAAAAATAAAGCCTAGTTCCTTGTTATTCCACTGCAGTACTGGAGGAGGGAAATTTGTCTCGGCTGTGAACAGCAATACTATTCAGGGAGCCTTCTTACAGAACGCTGGAAGTCATCAGGGTAAGCAGGCAACTTTTGTAATTAACAGATGTGGGAAAAGAGAACTATTAGAACTCCAGGACWGGGAAAATAGGAGATAAGCACTCTGACTAACCTAAGCTTCATCATATCTTATCTATGAAACAGGCTGGAGTGGTAATATTTTCCATGCCTTCTACTTTATAGCCTGCTGAAAGAGCATTTGTAAATTGCTTTGAGATCTTTAGGAGATTTGTTACATGTAATAATTACAATCTCCAATCCCACCTACTGTTTCAATCTCATCTGCCCTCACAAACGAACACTGTTTATGCCACTTCCCATTCTGCTGTAAATGTTTCTCCATACAAATGTTTCCTTTCACCCCAGAGGCATGAGCACTTCAGCCGTGTGTGAAATAATTATACATAGCTGTGAACTGATGGCATTTTAACATGAAAAGAACCTGGCTATTTATTCTTGTGTTATCACTTAGGACAGTGACAACCAATTTTCAAATGTTAATTTGAATAACAGAATCCATTCAATTAATACTTTTCATGYTATTGTGCAAATCTGCATTCAGAACTGACTGGCTTATGGTGTAATGATGCTTGGTCTCATTTGACTAATGTGTAACTGTGGYTATTATGGTGTAAGACAGAGCACTGTGAAAAATCCAACTGCTTTCCTAAAGAGAGAGACATAAAAGACACTATCACTTCTAAGAAGGATGCAAAGCAGACAGTTGTCCCCATTGTGGTTCARCTTATGATACAATCCTTTTTTTGACTGTCCTCCTTGCAACAGCTCTAAAAATGCTGCATTGTTATTTTATTTTAAGAGTGGGCAAAGCAAATCAAACAAGTTGCACCAGTGCAGGYTGGGGTGACTTGCTGGGAAGCAGCTCTGCAGAGAAGGACCTGGGGGTCTTGGTGGACAACAGGCTGTCCACGAGCCAGCAGAGTGCCCTTGTGGCCAAGAAGGGATCCGAGGGTGYATTAGGAAAAGCACTGACAGCAGGTTGAGRGAGGTGATCCTGCTTCTCTCCTCAACCCTAGTAGGCACATCTGGAGTGCTGTGTTCAGTTCTGGGCTTAGCAGATCAAGAAAAGCAGGGAACCACTGGAGTGAATCCAGTGAAGGGCAATGGAGGTGTGAGGGGACTGGAGCATCTCTCTTATGAGCACAAGCTGAGTGAGCTGGGGCTGTTCACCCCACAAAAGAGACAACTGAGAGGACTGACAATCCCTGCCTGTCAATGTCCGCAGGAAAGGGTCAGAGGATGGACCAGGCTCTGCTCCGTGGGGCCCAGCAAGGGGACAAGAGGCAACAGGAGAAACTGATACCCAGGATGCTCTGCCTGAATGTGWGGAGGAAYTTTCCTGTGCAGTGACTGAGCAYCGGAACAGATTGCCCAGAGAGGGTGTGGAGGCTCCCCCACAAGACATATCCCAAAACSATCTGGACACAATCCTGTGCCATGTKCTCTGGGATGGCCCTGCTTGAGCAGGGATGTGGGACCCACTGTGGTCCTATTCAGCCTGACTCATTCTGTGATTCTGCGAAACAAAAAATGGAAGAAAGTGAGCAGTACTCACAAGTTCATTGTAAGTAGGGTCAGAGACTTTTGGAGCTGTTCTTGTTTTCCTTCGACTGACCTCATAAGGATCTGGCAGAAGAAAAAATTCAGCATGTGCACTTGGGGCAGAGCCATCTGGGAGGCGCTGGAAAACAAGACAGTCATAAATATGAATGYCCATGTTCTAGTAAAGAAAACAAATAAAAAGTACCAAATAAAATCTGGACTTTTATCAAATGCAGAAATATGTTATGTTCTCAGTATTCTCTKGCCTAAATTGGAGTGCTAGTGGAATAACAAGAATCATCAGCATTCAGCTTAAAATGGAATCAAGAAAATAAAAATGAAATAATACAAAGAAAAGGTAAAATTGTCCATCTTTAATATTTTACATTCTGATGGAAAAAAAACATTAAGCCTCAATCTACTCTAACTCATCTTAATCTGATACAAAGTCCAGCCCYTCCACTTTCCAGAGCAATGCATAGAAACTGGATTTTAAACAGTAAGCTCCTATTAATTTTAACCCCAAAGTATCAATGCTGATAATGGGGAGAACTRATTGTTTCTAAGGGWGTTTCATAAAGCATTCTACYAGAGAAGAGCCAGGAGCATTTCCTSCAGCAATATGGGCAGAACAGGATTCTTATAACAGCCTTTTCAATCTCACCCWTCACACAGCTGCAATCTCTCTTTAATTTTCCAGTTCAGGTTACTGAACGACATTCCAGATATTCCATCTTATATGGTAGCAACTCAAGATCAGAGACAATCTATTAACCAGGCTCAGTCATCAGCCAGTGCTGGTGGGTGGAGAGTTTTTTGATAAGTTCTGAGGAGCGGCAAAGTTATTCTTAAAGCAGCATTACAGTTACTCAGAAAACACATTGTATTACCTGAGGCTTCAAAAGAACACAAGAAATGTAATCATGAAAAACTAYGGAACAGGCATCCTGCCAGCACATGTCACTGAATGCTTGGTTTATAATTAAGCACAAATGCTTGTGTTGGTTCCACAGTATACAATCAGAAAGCACAAAATGGGGCATTTCARAATATCATCAATTTTAATAATTTAATCAGCATTTTAGGTGGGAAGTTTACGTGCCAGCTCCCTGGCAATCCAGTGATAGGATGCAAATAAGAATATAGGCAAAAAGAAGAGACTGTAAAACATTTGAACCAATGAGTCCAGAGGATTACACAGGCTCTTGCATTTATATCTCCCATTTTAATTTTACACCTGGCTCTGAATGAGGTAATTTCTCAGATTTTGATTATTCACAGTATCTGTCTGGAAATATGGGGCTTTCTCCAGCATTATCAACAACATATCCCTGGGATAGAAGAGACTGCTCTCTCCTCCTTCCTCTCTATTGGGAAGGAAAAGARTGCTTGTGTGTGTGTACAACCAGTYCTTGCACAASAAACCTCTGGTTTTAGTTATCTGAAATGATCCTTCAAGGCAAATGATGTGGTCAACTGCAAAGCTCATTATTGTTATCATTAACACCATAGAGCATCAAAGGATGCCCACTCCACCCATTACATATTGTCAGCACTATGGCAGTCATTAATATTACCATTGCAAAGTTCCTTGAAGTACATCTGAYTTAAAATGCCCATGGGATTGAGATAGATGGGATTGAATGGCCAACATAAGAGAGCTATTAAAGGGCAGTGGAACTAATGGGTGTTTTCCTAGGACAGGGAGCCACACTGTTAATGCAGGGTTTATAAATTACACTGTCCATTGGAAAGCCCATCTCTSTTGATCTAGGACTGTACTAAACTTCAATTGGGGATTACATGTAATGGTAAATCGAGCATCTCTTAAAAATCAGGAGGGAGAAAGAAATGCAGCCTTAAATACCAGTCCAAGCAACCAGGGTCCCAAGTGTATCAAGCTTTTCCCTTCTCMATGAATAGGTAAACATCAGTGCAACTTGAAGGTCAACTGATTTCAGAGAAAGAAAGGAATCAGGTTGAAGTGACAGGGTACAAGGTAACGGGGCTGCATCTGTCCCATCCTGCTGCCCCTCTGAGCTGGGACAGGGGGTTGTCACAAGGGCTGACCCTCCCTGAGTACCTCAAGCAGCAAAGACACAGATCATGGAGCATCCTGAATTGGACACAGGCTCAGCCTGACGTTCACCTGCCAGTGGAAGAATCCAAGCTGATTGCTGTGTGATTGTTTAACAGGACCTGGGTGTCCACAAGCAGATGTGATTAATTGAAAAGACATCAAGTGAAATTGTCATCATGCTTTGAGGGACTCTTTGTCATGTTACCTTGCYTTCAGCCAACTAACCTTCCTCTGTCAGATGACTCCTCCCAAAATCTAAGAAAGGCCCTTTGCTGCAGTGTTTTGGCCATATGAAATGCACTGAAAATTACTTCCTCACTATCCCTTTGAATGTAGCTAAATACGTGTTGAAAGAGGCGAGTGGGAGGAAAGGGTCAGGGGAGAAAATTAAAAAAGAGAATATTTTAGTAATTCAGATGGAAAACTCAAGGGCAGAGCAGCTGCTCTGGGATATTTTAGAACTAAAATAAAAGCCACTTTTCATGAATAGTAGCAATCAGCAGTCAGACTGCTAGAGGTARTTCGATGTGCAGCCACCTGAATTCCAAACAGACATTGTAGTTCTGATTGTTGTTTTTTTCTCCCCCACTTTACAGGTGACATTTTCCCCCTCCATCTTCCCTTGCTGAGGAAAGGCAAACAGGCCACTCCAAATCCCACTACTGTCCCAATTCTCCATCTGCAGTGGCACTGTCATCCATCAAACAATCAAAAAAGCTTCAGCTGAGCCCCTCTTCCAGCCAGATCACATGTTCCACTTCTCTTCTGCTCTCCCCTGACTCCTGACATGACACAATCCATCTAACGAAGGACTCCAGCTGTTAAAAAGACTCTGTCCCACCATGCACTAATAATTCAAAACTACAGATTAAGAGCAGGTATAAATCAGCCCCAGCCTTACAAGAGCAGAGTATRGGAGCTCGTATAATGAGCTTGTGCTGGTTTCTCTTGTGATTGGCACAAGAGCTGAATTGCTTTTCTTGTGAAGAGCCTGCTTCACCATAGGATTTCTTGAGGCAAGACTTGCAATGAAAAGGGCTGTRCTTTGATAGACACTTCCCAGCAGGGACAAGGAATGATTATCGTGGCAGTTTGACTATAATAGTGCARGAACAGGACTATGATTAACATGGCAGAAATATCTTTTAAAATCATAACTAGCTAGAATTTGAAGTAAACTGTTTAATTAAGACAACTGGCATAGCAGGCAAGAACTCTCTTAGTTTTGGGCAAAGCAGTCCTTTCCCTGGCGTTCATATCTGAGTTGAAATAAAGGAGAATGGAGAGTAAAGGAAAAATGGAGGAAACCTCAGAAATATTTTCTTACTAAAGATTATAACTTCTGTCATAYTGCAGTATCACATTTAGTAAGCAAAACCCCTGTGTTTTCCTTTCACTTCYAACTCACTCCTAACTGCACTGTCTTAGTTACAAATTTAGGTAAACATGAGGARTACCTGACCAAAACCACAGAATTCCAGACTGGGTCAGGCTGGAARGGACCACAGTGGTCATCTGGTCCCACATCTGTACTSAAGCAGGGTCATCCCAGAGTACATGGCACAGGATTGCATCCAGATGGTTCTGGAATATCTCCAGTGAGGGAGACTCCACAGCCTYTCTGGGCAATCTGTTCCAGTGYGTGGTCACCCACACASTAAAGAAATTCTTCATATTCTGGTGGAATTTCTCTTTTTGCACCAAAGAGTATCTGTTGTGGTGAGCTTCTTATAAAAACAGAGTATGGTTTCTAGCAGGTTTATGAGTAGTTCTGAAATCCAGAAAACCCCCTTTTTGTTAGTATTAAAGGATAAAAAAAATCACTAATTTTTGTCCATAGTCCAGGACAGAAGGAAAATCAAAAGGTGCYCTGGGAATGCTATTTTGCACTTTACACTGCAAAACCTTTATAGCTTGAATGCACTTGGGATCAATCAAACAGAAAAAAACCCTAAAGTTTTAGATGGAATTCTATTTGTGTTTAATTCTGTAGTAATTTCATTACCCCAAAAATAAAAGATTTTTACTTCCCTCAGAAGAAGTTACTCCCAATTTAAATTATTGYCTTAAATCTTTTATTGTGAATGCTTACAAATAAATCCAAGCTATAAAAATCTGTAAGGCTGTAAAGGTATAAACCCAAGCTCCCGTCAGAAATTCCACAAGTTGCTTTGATATGCCCAGGGCCAAAAAAATCCCAAAAAAAACTCCGGTGATCTAGATCTGCCAATAAAAAAAATTTGAATTTAGAAGCTGCCTCAAACTGAATTTAGAAACTGACTGTATTTGCTCTCTTCAAGTGCAACCATGATTGAACAGTTTTCTCAGAGAATGACCAGCCTACTCAACCTTGATAATGACAGATGTTTTTAAGRAACTCAGTTACAACTGCCTGAATATATGTTAAAAAAGGAACTTATTTTGGAAATATAATTTTCTTCTACAGTCAGGCAGAGGTGATGAAAATATTTAAGAATAAGGGGAAATGAAGGAGAGAAAATAATACTCTGGATTTACTTCTTTCCACATCTCTAATTCAATATTGAAAACCTAAAATACACAGCCCGTATCTGTTATGACTGTGTTTYGTTTTCCACTCCAGTTTGTTTTTTCTAAAACCAGAAAAATGTTGATATTTATTTACAGAAACACAAAGAGATAGCTTACATCCTGTGTAATTCAATTTTAAATACAGAAGCTGTAGCTGGGAAGTAATGGATTAAATTCAATTAATTTTTTTAAGAAATATGTTCTCCTAATGACTTTTCTCCCCTGATCATTACTAATGATCCACAACTCTGCTAACACAAGGATTCTTTGTTAGCATTTCTGGAGGCACAACTAATTCCAAATTTGCCATATATTCAACTATTTAATAATCTAGCATCCACTATGAATATTGGGCCATACTCAGATGAATTTTAAGGATAAGTTTTATGATTTTTAAAATATGTACTTTAAGGATAATTTATTGTAAAACCTTTTAAAATTCACATCTTTCTAAATGAAGTAAAGTTTTCTTTTTAGGTGACTTTGGCCTCAAATTTAAATCATGTCAT